GAATTAAGTTAACTATTGCACTGAGGGCAAACATGTTAGCACCGCATTTTGTGACCGGAATAACACACGCGGCTTTCTGACGTTACCTGCCGTGTGCGTCTAAGTTTCCGGGAAATGCGGAGTTTTTTTTCTGTCATTCGCCATGCGGTATCAAACATTGCATGAAAAATACACGCTTAGAGCAGATCCTCGAATCAAATATCGCGTTTGTCGCGAGGGGCATGAATGAATTCCCTGAATGAAAGAGCCAAACTGCAGTTAAAGTCCACCATTTAATAATTTGGCAAATAATTCGACTACAGATGTCCGTGTAGGTAAAACACCATCTCTTTCTCCTGTGTGTGTATTTTGACTGAAACTCGCGCGTGCCCAAATAGACACTCCCACACCCTCCCACTTTAGTTCCTCCGACACTCCCCCCTAAACAGAGCTGGACACCCCCACTTTTCTGACTTTTTCCAAAGTGGAGGTGTGAAAACACCCTGCTGAAACGAGGGGGTTTCATGGCCCTTTAAGAAGCACCTGAGCTGGAGGAAACTGAGGAAAAACTGTCTCTTTATTACTAAATTTGAATTTCTTGGTTAAAAAAAAAAACTTTAAGTGCAACAATGGAAAAAAACAAGTTCATTGGTTGGGTAGAATTATGGCCAACATACTCAAAAAATAATAATAATAATAAAAAATGGAAGTAAAAAAAGCACTTCTATTAGCACAGGTCTACATTACTCACTCCATCTCAATTTGTAAGCACTGAGGAATCCAGAACTTATTTCCTTTAAATCTTAATAAACTTAAACAACCAGGACGTCCCATTAGCCATCAGAGGCCAGGAACAGCACTAAACTACTTGAGAGAAAACAAAACGGCCAACTAAAATCTGGTGTGTCAGTGTCCTATTAAAAGATTAACAAAGATGACTCACTCAGACAAACTTCTTTACAAACGCCTCTCAAACTAAAATCTAACATGGATATCTCTGGCTCAAATGTGAACATACCTTGCTGTTTTGGCACTTCTTTTCTGCCAATCAGGTCCCAGTTGGTGGCCCCAAAAATGAGCAGCTGACCTTTAACTTTGGGAACCTCGAGTTTCTGCACAACAGGAGAAAAAAATTAATAAATCTACGAGCAATCAATATAATTCTTAAACTGCTTGTAAAATAAATTAATAAGTTTAAAGACATAAAATAATTACATTTTTTTTTTGTTTATGTATCATCAAAAAAAAAAAAAAAGACACAACTATTGTAACCAAAATGCATTTTGTTTTTCGATCAGTGACATTAAATTTTGAACATATTCTCTGTATATTATTATCATTTTTCAAAGTAGATTTTTTGTACACAAACTAATATATACAAGAAGCATCCTTACAATCTTCTCCTTCACATCATCAGCGACAGTGACCGGTTGCAAACCCGCTTTAGCTGCTGGTTTTCCAGGTTTCTTTGTGTTTTCCTGTTCATAGTCATCAAACTCATCATCACTGCTGAACTCTCTTTCCTTTTTCTTTCCACCTCCTCTTTTCCTCTTCAATCCACCGTTCCCAGACACATCTGTCACCTTCTTGCGTGGCATATTCCAAATCCTACAAAAAAGCAAAATAAAAGTAGTAAGCAAGCAGTGTACAGTACAGATCATAATGAGACAGAAAGAAGAATCAAACGAGCCGAAAACACTCGAAAGAAGAAACAGTCTGATTCATTTCTCCTTCTGGTCCAAATTCCCAATTATCTCACAGCTAAAGAAACCTTAAGAAAACACAAACATCTGCGCTCATTAGTATTTCTGCGTATTTATCTAAAAATATAATCATAAAGCGTCATGAAAGCAGATGTCCTGTGCTATGCTAACAGACTAGCAATGCTGCAACAAAAGAATCAGCAGCAACGCGTCTGTCTCACTCAGTCTCCATTTGTTTCTTTGTTATGTTTTATAACGCAGCCGCCGGTTAGCCAACTAGCACCGCTGTGCTTCAACCAAACTAGTAACTAAACTATTCCATTACCCACGTGTTATATATCTGCCCTGTCCCGTTAAAACAGCCCAAGCCGTAAACTTAGTTCATTCGAAAGACATAACGTTTACAGATGTGTACGATGCAGACGTAGCCGTGTTAGCATGCTACACTGCATTTGCATCCGAAGCCGCATTCATAAACATCGTGAATATCATAACTTACCTGAGTTAAACTTTCCTCTTTATACTTTAAATACAAATATTAAAGTTGTAGGAGTATAAATGTGTCAAGTTAAGAGGCTGCGGCTTGGTCTGTTGTGCTGGAAGATGCGGTTATTATATAAGTAGATTTCCTGATTCAGATGCTCTACTTATGTCTGTCCGTCTTCCTCGTTTTTTTGATTGATTCGGAACAAAAGACTCGCAGCCTCGCGATCAAACCACGTGGGTGCAGCGCACACTCAGGGCTTTACACCGCACACATCTGTCTGGACCGATCGCTTAATTTCACATTTAAGATGTAAAAAACCGCACAATTAACAGGATTATAATGTCATTAAGCGTAGAAACTCGCAAAAACTTATCTAACTTAAAGATCGCAAGTTTACCTGTGTTATGATGGGATCGACACGTTGGATGTTAAGCGTAAGAGGTATTTCTCCTCTGTGTATTCCTTAAGTAAATTTAGGTCCAAATGTACAGTTTAAGCACTCATGTAACTTTCATGGCAGTGAGCGTGTAGTCCACAAAACAAACACACGAGGATGAGATTCAGAGCTGAGAGAACTACAAATTTCGAGCTGGACAAACGAGACGTAATAGCGCCCTCTGCTGAGTTGGAGGACATGCATTTTGTCCATTGTGAGATGCGTATTTTGACCGGTTTTGACGTTTTTGTGAGTTTCATCAAAGAGCATAAAAATATTTCAATATATCTATCTACTTCAGTCTTCATAATCATCTGTTTTGCTTATACATGGAAAGTGGTGTCCGTTTGATTGAAAGAAACAGGTAATTGTGTACATGGAGTGTTCTTTGTTACTAATATGGTAAGTGTGAGGATTGATGATGGCTGGTGTTCTGCCGATTTGTCCTACCTTGTCAGATTGTCCTACCTCCACTTCAAAAATTATTATGCTACCCATCAGATTTTGCTACCAGTGTAAATTTTAATGTGAAGAAGAGTGATATGAAGCTGTAATATTGCCCTACCTAATCTCTAACTCAACCCCCAGAACCACTTTAACTGTTGGTTAAATCTGATGGGTAGGACAAAATGTAAGAACACCACCAGTATTCTGTCTATTACTTGTCACATTGTCCTACCTCCCCTTGAAAATGTTTAGTGCTACCCATCAGATTATGCCACCAGTGTAAATTTTAATGTGGAGCATGCTGTATTATCACCCTAACCTACCTAAATCATTAACCCCAACCCCAGAACCATTCAAATACAGTGTTGGTAGTATAATCTAATGGGTATGATATGTCTGCATGGACAGCAGTAATCAGTTGATTTGTCGTACCTTGTCATATTGTTCTACTATCTCCCCTTCAAAAAGTATTATGCTACCCATCAGATTTTATTACCTGCAAATTTTAATGTGGACTACTGAGTGTGATATAAAGCTGTAATATCGCTCTAACCTACCTAATCCCTAACCCCAACATCAGATCCATTCAAATACAGTGTTGGTAGCATAAACTGATGGGTAGGACAAAATGTCAGGACACCAACATAAACAAATAACATGTTCATTTTACCTTGCTGTCAGGTTATTTGTAAAAGCAAACATATATTTTACAGACCATTTTGAGGGATATTAACAAAAACAATGGTCCCAATGTATTTTTTGTTTTACATCTTTAATGTCTATAGCTTCTGAGAATCCATAAAGAGCCACATATTGTTAAATAATGTTATTTTAAAATCATTCTTAACCCTTTAACTGCCTGCTCTACCAAATGCTTGACCATAGTTTGATTGTTTTGAAGAATGGTTTACACTAGACTGAATTGTTGGTTTACAAAATAAACATGCAAGCATAATCTTGTTGCACTACTACACTTGATTTTAGTTTTATAGTAAAATAACAACAACAAGAAAGCATGTTAAATGAGAATCTGAAATATTTTATGGCAAACTTAAAAAAAAAGGATTTAGTATTCAAACATTTTTTATTTTGATTATTTTTTAAATAAATTGGTCCTACACTTCAAATTATCAGATTTTTCATAGTATATGTATTAATTACAGTACTTTTAGCATAATCTGACATGTCAACTATTTGGTAGTGATTTATATTTTAGAATTTATTAGATGTGTTGTACAAAAATGAGTTAAGAAGAACTAGGAGTTTAGAAATGCAATCCAAAATAGTTTTTCTTGGTGGGGCAGTTGATCATAAATGGTAATTTTTGCAACAGATTTTGTAAGAATTACTTCACTAATAAAAACACCAATTCTTGATACCAAAAACACAGAAATCAAATTGATATAAAAAAATAAATGTTAATAAGTAATTTGTAATAGCTGTAAATATCTTTACACAATATGCCAATAAACTGCCATTCACAAATCATAATTAGAGATCTTAATCAAATCCTGGAAATAAATCAAAGTCAAAATGGCTTGTCATAGGAAATACAAACATTATGGTGCATTTTATCTTACTTAAACCAGGATATTCAATAGAGGTGAAAAGGACAAAAACAACCTGGTCTATCTTGTTTAACTTGACTGACATTTGAAGTAACTTCAGGGAGGAAATAAAAACAGTCTAGGAAATAATAAACAGTATTCTTGGCTTTCTAATGTTTACCACCATTAGTTGTTATATACGTCATTAGTCAAATATTTATAAAAAAAATGTTTACGTTTTTGGACACAGTTGGAAAAAATCCTGAATCCAGCAGCATGGAATTTCTGAAAGAAAGCTGGAAGTAGTCATTGATTGGTCGGATTGCAGCCCTGCTCGTCTTTCATTGGCTGGTTGTTCCTGAGAATATTTACATGGAGGCTCTCTCCTGATGTACGGCAGGGGGAAGGAGTGAGTGAAAAGAAAGGAAAAAGGGAGGGACTGAGTGAAAAGAATAGAGGGAGAAGAGTTCTCTTTTTCACCGTGTCAGTTAATGCACCGGGAGAGACTCAGAACTTGTTCTTCCACTAAAAGACCGCAGATCAGCTGTTTACATCTGTTGTGCTTTCTGAGGAAGATACAGTGGTGTCATCAATTTTACATTCACAGATGGCTGCACTGCGCAAAGATGGGAGCAGACGTGACAATGGATTTGTATTGATAGCTCCTGATCAATAAGGACAAAATCAGAGGGGTGACATTTTAAGGGACTTAAGACCAGGCCTGTGAGTAAGTCTTTCTTTGGAATAAGAGCTCAAAAATGCAGTGCTTAGGTTGTTTTACATGTACAAAATGTAACAATGCAACTCACTAGGGGGGAGTGATAATCATGAAGCTGTAGATTATTACAAAAAACAACATTAACAACAACAAAAACATCCAGACTGTCAGATGAAAGAGTGATTGTGCGTAACAATCATGCCACTTGATTCAGTATTGACTCCATATTAAAGAATGTGTTGTTAATTCACCTGATGTTCCTTTGTGAAATGAATCTTTTTATATATATTTATTATTGATATGGTTAAAATTGTAGCTTCAAATCATACAATGCTAATGCTATTTTGACATAATAGATAAACATAAATAGAGTCTATTGATCCCTGAGCAGAATTAAGCATCCAGATAGACAATACCCCTCGAACACAGCTATATTTCACCTGACAGCAATAGTGGCTGTGTAAAATGACTTTTACTATGGAATATTAATGATATTTAAAAGGTAATCATCATATCAGGCCTGTGCTAAAGCTACTCTGAGGCCAGATTTATGCTCTGTCTTTCAGTTATCCAGTGGTTTGATATCCCTGACTCACGTGGGATGACCATTTTGAATCAAACCGCTCCTTTTGGTCATTATTTTAAGCCCAAGGCTACAGCCTGTTATGTTTGTGTTTTACCTAATCAGTTCTGTCAAGTGAATTGACTGATTGCAAATTTACAAAGCAACCTAAACAGGAAGTAGAGATGGTTTTCCGTGATAAAAGGTCTGTAAAAAAGAGCGGGCATGGAGAGTTAATGTATTTGGAGGTTCAGATGCCTGTCTCATTGTGCCTTGTGTCCAAGGCAATGCCTGTGTCATTTCTTTGTAAGGATTTGCTGGGCCATTCATTGGGCCTCAGTTCTTACTCTGTGCTTTACTCTCAACAATTCAACCTTGCTGTGTTCTTGGAGAGGGAAAGACGCTGTCTTGCCTTTGTGCATTCACTGGCCTCAGCCTGGCCTTCTTTAGTGAATAATTCATGCAGACTGACCTCCAGCTGTACGGTTATCTATCAGAAAACAATATGGGACTTTGACAAACACTTTGTGGGTTTGGCTGTCACTTGTATTTGAAGAAAATTATAGAGCATTTAAAATTGGCATTCTCTTCCTGACAGTCAAACTCATAACAAAAGTGATCCACAGGAACAATTATTTTAGTATTAATTATATACACTGTAAAACCCAAAAAGCTACGGTAACTCAACCCATTTGAGGAAACCGATTGCAACAAACTATTTAAGTTCAAAAACTAATCCTAATGAGTACCGTGAACTTAATCCATTTGAATAAATAAAGCAATTTGAGCACAGTAAAACCCATTAAATTAAGAGAACTTAAACCAACTGAGTACTGTAAAACCCAAGAAGTTAAGGCAACTCAAACCAGTTGAGAAAACAGATTTCTACAAACCATTTGAGTAAAAAAAAAAACCTATATGAGTACTGTGAACTTACTCCATTTAAGTTGAAGTAATGAGGTATTTAAATAACTCTTGAGTTCAAAACCCTTTTCAAATGAGTATAATGAGTATGTATATGTATGAGTATGAGTAGAATTAACCTTCAGTAAATTTTGAGTTAACGACACTCATTTCAATTGATAAAGTTGACTTCTGGGATTTTCAGTGCACTGTTAGATCACTTATTAAATATTTAATAAAAAAATGAGTAAACTTTTATGATATTTTGTCACCTTAGAATGATAAGGTTCTATCTGACGTGTTTGTCAAAATTGAGTAATTTAAATATTCTTATTAAATGACAACTTATTTACATTATAGGATGTTTTTTTAATAAGTTGTTTACATTTTAAGACTTTTTATTTACAAAACAAATGTTACACACATACTGTTTTCTATGGAATGCAAAAACTTTAAAGCTCAATATCTCAAAATCATTCAGACCGCAGACAGAACCTTATAATTCCAATGTGGTGATTTTTAACGAAATGTTTAGAGATTTATATATAGATTTAAGTAATTTCTATTATTTTGATTAATTTTATAAGACTTTATTTTTTTATCTATTTTAGTTAGCTGCTAGGTTAACATTTTTAACTGTTAAGTTTAATTTGCATTTTTTGCTTAATCTAGTATGTATTTTTGTTATATTTCAGCTGTAGGAGCTATAAATTGAAGTTGTTTAATGTTGTTTAAAGTTTTTATTATTTACTGTATGCAAATGCTTTGTGACTTGAAATTATTTATTGATTCAGTCTTTGAATTAATGAGTTTATTTCTGCTTTTGAATTGTAGTATGAGACCTTGACCTCTTCTCAGACAACTTTAATGTAGAGAATTCAGTTCAGTCTTATAAAGGGACTTTTTTGACATTTTAATTAATTTGAAACAAAATACGAAGAGTTCAGATGCAAAAACCTCTAAGTGCCATCTGAAATTTCCACCAACAATTTACATTTTTCTCAGCCTCTCTTGTTTATGTTGAGATATTTCACTTCCAGGGAAAGGACTTATTCTTTGCCATAAGAGATATTACTGAACATACACACAGGAGAATGTTCAGACAGCATTTAGAGGTTTTTGCATCTAAACTCTTCATTTTGCATATATAAAAATAATATAGAAATACAACTGTGAAATAACACATAAAGTTCTGGCAGCTCATTACAAGCTTTGTACTGTAATTTACATGACCAACCCATACAATACATTAAGTTCAAACTACTGAAGAACTACTGTCACTTTCTTTGATTTTCCAACAACAGCAGTTGACAGAGCAGAGATCAAGGCTCCATGATACAAACACTTTGAAAGCATAAATAAATGGAAAACACACATAAAGAGTGAGCTATACAGGCAACAGTTAAATGGATATTTGTACAGCGTGGCACTGACGTAACTCAGCCTATTGTAAAGTTTCTTCAGCACATTTTTCTGTGTCTCCCTCTGGTCTTTCCTCTTGTTTGAGTTGTGGTTTGTATTGGTTAAGTCGTGTTGTTCTGACACATGCAGAGAGTTTTTCCCATAAATGTGGGAGGAGATGTTGTGCGAGGATTCAGCCGGTAAGGCAAGCCTGAATCTGCCACACAATGTTGAGGAATTTCACATTTTCACCCTGAAGTTATCTGTAATCACTCCTTTAGTTATTATCAGCAATATTATTACTCAAATTCATATTTTATTCTATTCAGTTCATTATTCAAAGATGTGGTGTTAGATATTTTACAGTTTAAAGGCATTGTGTTTAACTGTTATACAAAAACACTGTGTGTTTGAGGAATTTAACATATTAGAGTCAATGTGTTGACAGTATTTTTCTCTTTTACAGGAGTGTAGACATGACTAGAAATTAACTTCATGGCATCTCCACAGTCTCTTACCCCTCCTGATAAAGGTTAGTACATGTTATGCTGCTCATTGTTTTCAATATGTTAAAAAATCTTTTAAAAATCTGTTTTAATTTATTTTACAAAAAGACCTCAAATAGGAACCACGCACACTGTAAAAATGCAGTGTTCCTCACTGTTAATTTATGTTGTTCTAACTAGGCATATACGATTTTGACGGTATAATAACCTTGGATACAACTATCATGATTTCACTGTATTGTAATTACTGCTCTAAAATATATTATTTTTAAATGGGTAATAAAAAGTAAATAAAAAATTCCCCTTTGAAAATAAAATATTTTATTTTGAGAAACATTTCCAAAATATTTTAACAGTAAACATGTCAGGCTAAATGATTCAAATGAAACAATTACCTTCAACTAACAACTAACAAGAAACTTAATACTGCCTACATTAGTTTCTAAAAAACAGATTTATTTACCATTTAAGATTAAAAATCTTTGAATATATTTTCTGCTGGAGATATTGTTGTCCTAAAAAACAAAAAACAAAAACGTAAATAAAAACTCTGACATATATCTTATGTGTTGTTGCTGATTTTAAAACCTTGGCTTTTCTAAATCACGGTATAACCTGAAAACAGTTATCGTCTCATGCCTTGTCCCAACACAAATTTATGAAGTTAGCTTAACAAATTTATTTGGATTGAATATAAAACAATTAAGTCATCCCAAAAGAATCTCAAAAATTGTGTTGTTTCAGCTCATTTTAAATAAGTAGTTTGAACAAGTAGTAAAAACATTTTTTTGACTGCATAATGAATTTATTTTAGTTCTTAGTATTTAGTTTAGTTCTTTAGTATTATATCCTTGTGCGTCACGGTGGCGCAGTGGGTAGCACGATTGCCTCACAACAAGAAGATTGCTGGTTCGAGCCCCGACTGGGTCATCTGGCATTTCGGTGTGGAGTTTGCATGTTCACCTTGTGTTCGCCTGGGATTCCCCCACAGTCCAAAGACATGTGCTATAGGTGAATTGAATAAGCTAAATTGGCCATAGTGTATGTGTGTGAATACATGAATGTGTGGGTGTTTCCCAGTGTTGGGTTGTGGATAGAAGGGCATCCGCTGCGTAAAACATATGCTGGATAAGTTGGCAGTTCATTCCGCTGTGGCAACCCCTGATTAATAAAGGGACTAAGCTGAAAAGAAAATGGATGAATGAATGTATTATATCGGTATAGTTATTATAAATGTCAAAATCTTCCCACGAGCAATACTTGCGGAGATTCACAACAGACCACTGCTTGGTTTCAGTTTATTTGCTGTTACAGAAATAAATGTTTAATAGTTCTTGGACCAAATTTAACAACAACTTGTGCCAAGTTTCAACACAAACTTTTACGTGACATACACTTAGTATTACACTAGTAAATGAGGAGTTTAAAGTGACAAGGCTTTATGCATGCAGATAGTAAACTTGCATGATGATGAACTGCTGTGTCATGCGAGTATGATAGGCCTGATAAACCCAAACATGTGTAGATTATTAAAAACATTATGTAAAAAGAAAAACACAGACCCCTAAATTTCATAATTGCACTCAAAAGACAGTTCTGTATTACTAGTTTGAATCACATTTTATATTAAGCGTTAAATGTATTAAAATTATTAATAATTAGTTTATTTTAATACAATTAATTATTACATTTATATTATAACTATAAGATTGGTTTCATCTTAGTTTTGGATTGGTTTCATCTTAGTTTTATTTTTATAACATGTATAGCTACATAATATATTGTTTGTGCATCGTGTGTATCCACAATAGTCACATCGCTGGATTAGATTGTTTATTAAAGTTTAAAAGATAACGATATTATTAAATATAATTATTTAGAAATAATTTATACAGTGTTAATCATGATATTTAGTTTGATTGTTCAATTTATATGTTTGAATATTTTTAGACTCAGAAAACCATAAAGCACTGATTATTTACCTTTTACCTTTGCTCTGTTGTATTTATATATGCTTGTAATTTATTATATTTATTCAGATGCACTGCATGGAAAAATACTTGATCATTGTAATATATCTAAAGAAAGGAAATCTTTCCAAATAGAGGTATTCAATTAAAAAAATAACCATATCGCAATATATATAGCAGGAAAACTAAATATCCAATGTGTTGCAGCCCTACTAACATGTATGTATTGTTCTTAAAAATGGATTGGGTACTTGAATCTTCAATTATTAAATTAAATTAAATTAAATTAAATTAAATTAAATTAAATTAAATTAAATTAAATTAAATTAAATTAAATTAAATTAAATTAAATTAAATTAAATTAAATTAAATTTAATTTAATTTAATTTAATTTAATTTAATTTAATTTAATTTAATTTACGCAATGCAGTGGCACAGTAGGTAGTACTGTCGCCTCACAGCAAGAAGGTCTCTGGTTCGAGCCTCGGCTGGGTCAGGCATTTCTGTGTGGAGTTTGCATGTTCTCCCTTCATTTGTGTGGGTTTCCTCTGGGTGCTCCGGTTTCCCCCACAGTTCAAAGACATGCGGAACAGGTGAATTGGGTAGGCTAAATTGTCTGTAGTGTATGAGTGTGAATCCACTGCGTAAAACATGTGCTCGATAAATTGGCGGATCATTAATAATAAAGGGACTAAGCCGAAAAGATAATGAATTAATAATAAAAATTAAATTAAATTAAATTAAATTAAATTAAATTAAATTAAATTAAATTAAATTAAATTAAATTAAATTAAATTAAATTAAATTAAATTAAATTAAATTAAATTAAATTATTTAACTTAGCTTGGCACATGTACACTCCTACACGCTGTTACCCCACATACTCTTATTCAAATACAGATCTTCCAAGCCCAGTGGTGTGTAGTCATGATTTAGTAGCCCTGCCAAGATGTTTGAGGAGGTGACATCACACTGTTCACTGCACTCTCTGACACAAACAAGCCCAAACAAAGGGTATCTGTGCATGACACATTAGGGTGCGCTCTTCAAATACAGAGAAATCATAATGACAGTGTATTTACCCCTGCACGTCATTTGTTCTGGTACATTACAAAACAGTATATTGTGTAAACCACTGAAACATAGTTACCTAGAGGGAACACGGCATTACCCACTTAATCTCTCGAGATCTTTGGAAACTGCCTGAGCGCTCAAGGTAACTGACCATATGCTGCAGCAGAGCAATTCTTGCACCATATGCCACCTGCTCTTGACACACAATCATCCTGCAGCTATGGAGACTGTTTGCATGAGGCAATCGCTAAAATTTTTAGGTTCACCCAAAATTCACCTGGCCGGGTCTAAGAGGTTTTCATACTTCTGCTGGAGTGAGGGGGTTGAGGACAACAAGCGGCATGGTAAAACCATTGTTTTGTTGGTTTTTGTGATTGTTGAAGTAAATAGAGGGCTGAGGATTGCATGATTACTGACCTTTAGAGCCATTTTCAAGTCATGTGAGTTTATATTGGACTGCTATGAAGTAACTTCTGTTATTTTATAAGGTAAATGTGCACCAAAAAAAACTGTAGAGATATAAAGATATAAATGTGAGCATATAAATTTCTTCTTTGCTATACTATAACTGATTTGCACAAGCCACTTTCATAGTTAAAACATTTAGTTGTATGAAGTACTTTCAGTTGCGTATTCTCCGAAGAGACCATATGGTCACATGTGTAATCCTGCTCATCACATGATCTGTTATTCTCCATCTTGTGCGGTCTGTAATCTGTATTCCTGCACTTTGGATTCTTTTCCTAAATGTAATGTTCCAACAACTGGTCAGACATGGCCAAAAAAGTGATGTAATAGTTGCTTAACTTGGCTTTATGGTTAACAAAAAGAAAAATACAGGCTGTCATTATTGCTTTGGGATTCGGCTTACAACACGCTTACACTTTTAGTACGTGTAACAGATGTGTATTATTATTTTGTCCATCTGTTCAGTGTTTGTGGTATGTGTTATCAGTGTCTTGGCTTTAGGCTTGTGAGGATTGGGTGTTTTTCGAACCAAATGATGACTCACGAGGATTTTGTTTCCAGTGTTATGGTCAAAACATATTTTAGAGCCTCCCCTTTGACTCAATCTGGCTTCATAATGGAATGCAAATGGAGCTGCTTAGATACAAGAGTGTGCTCTGAATTATAAAGACACAATTGTTTGTTGTTTATGCTTTTATGTCAAATTGGATTATGCACACTAAGTCAGAGTGTTACATCGCAATCAGTGCATAACAGACGGGTCTTGGGGCTTATATTGTTACACTAATAAACAAAACTCTTATGAAATTAAATAGTTTGTTCTCTGTTTTTAAAACCTGGATATTAGGGCTGAACAACACAATGCTTTATTATTGATATCACTGTGTGTATCTGCAATAATCACATCACGAGATGTGCCATGTTGAGTAGGGATAATAGTTGAGGAGAGTCACTGCAGTGATAGTTTATCATATGCATATGTTTTTTAAGGCCTGGGACTGTGTGAGCATTTCAAGGGAGCTTCTAGTATTCAATAACTTAAAAAGACAAATTTCCTTGAAATATTTACATAATAAAGACTATGCAGTGCTATTTTACATTTGATTATTCAATTTATGTATAATAGACCCTTTTCACATTTCCAGGAAGGCGTCCTGGTTGGGTAAACTTAAAGCGCAGTGAACTGGCGAGCAAAACAAATATTTTTATTTTATATTTTACAAGCCTATTTGCTAAAATAATAAAAGAAAAAACTCCTTAATGGCATTATCAAGACTTTAAGAAAAAGGAAGAAAACTTGTGTTAGACTGATGACAGCAGCAAGACGAGAGATAACGTCAAACTTACCTTCAGCCCCATAAGTGCTGCATTAGAAACACTTCACATAAGTGGAAATTTGTTTTTTGTAATTTGATGCAAAGATAATATAATACATATAAATTTTCATACGTTTAAAAAAAATCAATATTAAAAACTTTTAGGAATTAGAGATCATGATGACTGTTAAACGCATCTCAACAGTCTTGTGAAAAGGCTCCATACTATTAAGACTTCCCAGAAAAGCACTGTTTATTCCACTGTTGTATTGTATATTTATGCTTGTAATTTGTTTATTATATTTTATGCATTAATTATTTCCCTGTAACATCGTCCCTATCAATCTAAATTAACAAATAATTTCGAAATAGAGCTATCTAAATCATTTGGCTAAATGTATTTCATAATCACAATATATACAGCAGAAAAGCAAAATATTGCAATGGCAGATTCTTTTTAATATGATAAGCCCTACCACATATCTACATTTGTAAAAACAAGGGTCACACTTTATTTTGATGGTCCGTTTGCTTAATATAAGTTACAATGCATCTGCATGCCAACTAAATCTCATTAGATTATAAGTAGACTGTTAGGTTGGGGTTAGGGTTAGTGTAAGTTGACATGTACTTGCAAAGTTTCTTATAGTCAGTTAAATGTCTGTTGAAGGAGCAGTATCAACAGATATTAAGCAGACAGTCACTGAAATGGACCATCAAAATAAAATGTTTACCAAAACAGGCTTAGGGGTGGGTGAGATTGTTGTGATTTGTGGCAATACTAATCACACTAGTAATGCTCAAACAACCACTCAAAACATTCCTGACATCCCAAGTGAGATGCTTACTAACTATTCAAGCAATAATATAGCAACACTAAAACACCCACTCAGAAAATGCTATCCACCAAATAGCAATGCTCAAACAACCACTCAGATCCACTTAGCCTTTAAACCGCATAGCAATGCTCAAACAACCATTTGTAACCAACAACCAACACCTAAACAATCACTCAGAAAAACTTTTGGAAACCTCATAAAATCATATAAACCACCTGTAGAAACACTCTAACACCCTTTTACCAACTCAAACAATCACTCAGAGTACTTTACCAATGCTTACAACAAACCCAGTACACTCTCATAACAACATAGCAATCAGAACTGAGGAGAACTGGTCGCCTGGCTGACCCTGATTTCTCCTTCGGTTTTGTCTATACTTCCGCCAATTGGTAGAGTTTTTGTCAACAAATGTCTTTGTCAACAATGACCATGCGGTCACTTATTCATCGATGTAGAAAAATTGATGTAAAATGTTCATCATTTAAAAAAATATTTGCATTGAGAGAGACATTTATATTAAACTAAATCGAATCAGTTTTAGTTAAACTATTACTACATTAGGACTTCTACCACTACTCTATTATCTGCCTGATGTGCTATAATGTTTCCATAAATTAAAAATAATGTGACGGCTTTTTATTCTGTTTTCTTCATCTGCTAAGCTGCTTTGGCATTATCTAAATTGTAAAAAGTGCTATACAAATAAAGATGGATTGAATTGAACAAATCTAAACTCAAACACTCAGATAACAGGGTGTCTGCTGGGTCTTAAAAGGTCCTAAAAAGTTTCAGAAACTACATTTTAGGCCTTAAGAAATCCCAAATTCACTGATATATGATGTTGTAGGTCTTAAATCATTTAAAACAGGTCCTAATTTTGATTTGTCCAAGTAAAGCTTATTCAATTGAGCTGACATTCATTCAATGACCAACAATACAATAATAAGTGTATTACAACAATAAGTTTTTTTTTTTTATTTCAAAGAGATAAAATTCCCAACAGCTCTTAGATATTTTTACAGCATATTCCCCAAATTAAATTTCTTAATCAGGTAAAAAAACTTAAAAACAATTACACAAATTCCACATGATAATATCGGGCCAATAGAAAAAATCCTTAGTCGTTAACCCTGTATAAATCAAAGATTTTATTCTTAATGGTCTTAAAGGACTCTTAAAAAGTCTTAGATTTGACTACCTGAAACCTGCAGAAAAACCTGAGAAAATTTTATGAACACCATTAAAACCAAGCAGAAAAACCCTGAGAACTCTAAAGAAGGCTTACCAGTCACCTTGCAACACTCGCATAGTAATTCCCAAACAAATTTTAAGAACAACACAACCTGACAGTACAGTTTCCTTACTATATAAATAAGCATAAACTGAATGTTTTTGTTGGAATACGATATAGAGCCACCATTTTAGTACAGGGTAGGACCCCTTTGAAATGAATGTGAGACCAAGGTACAGTGGAGGACTGGCCATCCAAAGCCAGAGATATATACACATATATACATATACATAATCTATGATCGGGAGTTTTTCCGGTGGTCATTACGCAAATATTTTTTAAAATGACGAAAATTATCATTTTACATCACTTTTCTACATCAATGAATAAGTGATCACATGGTCATTGTTGACAAAGAGCGTGTTTTTGTGTGCAATGTATTATTCTCCCTCCCTTTTAAATTTGATCTAATTTGTGTCCTGAAACACTCCTCTTTTCCTGCTTTCACTTCTCATTCTAACAGAAGGAACTATTAGTTCGTGAATGAATCCTCGTTATGAACGACTCATTCACATAGCTGACAATAATACAAGTTTCTGGCAGCGCAGCATCTTGTTGTCACATTTTATTTACATTGCTTGCTTATTTTATTAAACAAAACTAGCATAGGCCTAGTATTAAGTGTGAGTTCAGAGCTACTTTGCCTTATGGTCATGGCAGTAAGAGACTGTAATATTATCCACACTTGTTTAGTACAAAAGTTCATTACAGAAAAAAAATGTAAAAAACTAAATCTTACCTATGAAATGTGATGCCTTTGTGCTTTGTTTTCTTTGTTTGCTCATTACTACACCCATATGCAGTGCAAAAGTCCAGCCTCTTTAGATTGACTTTAGTCTTCTTGACTAGTCTGGTAGAATGACGTTTGTCCAGGCAGCACTGTACAAATGTGGAGTTGACACATGCTCAGGGTCCGTATGTGATATCTAGTGTATACATTTATGGCTTGATTTACGTTCTTCAGAAACCTATAGGTGACATTACGGATACTACATCCATATCTTTTACAGTCAATGCAAAATACTCATTAGGGCCAGACCGAATCTGCAGACAGTTTTTTTCTATTTCCGTGCAGGATTTTGTTAAAAATGTGCGGATTTATGCGAAATGATTTTAGGAGTATCATAACTAAAAACTTAATATAAGAACTAAAACGTAATACCTTTTTAACTTGTATCTAATGTTTACAATGCAAATCTAATTAGATGCATTGTTTACCAGATAAAAGTGGAAGTCTTCTATATCTACTAAAAGACAGAAAATATTAATTTACACTTTATTGTAAATAAATTAAATGAACATTTTGATATTAGTCAATAATCATACTAAAATAAATAAAAATAATTTTAATATAAAGAATAAATATAAATTTGCACACATTTACACAAGTAAATAAACAGAATCAATGATGGGCTTGAAATCTTTGGAAATCTTCGAAATTCTGCGCCCGCAGATTCTGTGTGGGCCTACTCATCAGTTTAGAGCAGGGATGTCCAGACTCAGTACTGGAGGGCCGGTGTCCTGCAAAGTTTAGTTCCAACCCCAATCAGACAAAGCTGGCCTAACTAATCAAGCTCTTACTAGTCTAGAAACATCCTTGCAGGTGTGTTGAAGGAAGTTAGAGCTCAAATCTGCAGGACACCGGCCCTTCAGGACCGAGTTTGGACACCCCGGTTTAGAGTGTTATGCTAGCTCTAATTTTGTCAAATGAATGTTTATCACATTGTTTATGTATATGTTTAGTAGCTGTGTGAATAAAACTAGCACCTTCTACATGCTAGCATGCATTTTAACTTGTGGAATAGTAGCTTTGATTCATCATTCATGACTTTCTTAGACAACTATCATAAACACACTAGCAACTACAGCAACACCTTGAAATCCTCAAAATACTCACTTAACTAGCAATATTTTTGTGTGTTGTCTTAGAGTCCATGGTCACTGGTGTGACTCAGAAGCCCCAGGAGGAGGAAGAGGAGGATGAGGATGATGAGGAAACTGGTGAGAAGTTTGAGTTTGACGACAGTGAAGACGAGAAGAATGCAGTGGAGGATAAAGAGTCAGGAACTCCTCATGTGGAAGCTGAGCTTTCAGGCAGCTCTGATGTAAATGCACTTTATTGTCAATCTATGAAGCATGTCATGCACAGTAATCAGCCAGCAGTCAACGGAGGAACCCCTGCTGGTGTGGAGGAGCAGAATATGCCCACACATCCTCACACACACCCAGGTTTGTTTGCATAGTATGTACAGTATCACAAGGTATACAAAAGCAATACCAAACAAAATATTAATTCAGTTAAGTATAAAGTCTGCCTTTTCAGTTTCATCTCAGTCGTAGTGCTTATTTTTGCTGTTAAATTTACACTAATAAATAATGAATGTATAATTTTAATATTTAATATTATCCACATGCCATATACTGAAAACCATAAGGAATAATTAATGATAATTTAAATGATAATGATCAAATGAAATAAAAATGATAATTTAAATACACAATACATACTAGTATGTAACAAAAAAATGTAATATATAAATGATTAAAATATATATATATATATGTATATATGTATATATATATATATATATATATATATATATATATATATATATATATATATATATATATATATATATATATATATATATATACACATACAGTGCTTAGCATATATGCGTACACCCCCCAGAAATCTTTCATTTAAATAAATATTTTCTATAGGATGCTTTTTAATATTATATTTGTGCATATACATTAGATTAGTCAGTACTGAAGCCAAATCTGGAGCTTATCTAAAAAAATAACTTACAATAATGGGTAAAAAATGAGTACACCCAAATTTAGATGTTTAAGAAAAATAATAAATAAAATTTTCTAAAATAGCAAAAATCAAGAAAAACAAAACCTATATACAATTTTGTTGAAATTTTGTAAGTAAGTTTTTTCTTTTTTCAATATTTTGCATCAATTTAAATATATTATCTTTCTATTTCTAAAGATGTTTGGCGACTAAAATATTATTCTCATAAATATATCTGATTAATAAATCTGTTTTGTTGAAATGCATCAATATAGATTACCTTTATTCACTGAGAAATGGATAAAAATATTCATTTTCAAAATGGGGTGTACTCAATTATGCAAAGGACTGTATATAAAAATGTGTTGCCATTTTAAAGAAGAATGTAGCAATTTCATATATTTTATTTGTTAAATCAGTGTGAAATGCATGAAGAATAATTTGTGTTATAATAAGTATTTTATATGAAAAAAATCTGCCCTGTTCAGACAAAATAAACAAGGAGATCATTCAAGCATTTCAAATAGTGGATTTATTTTATAGCTCATTTAATTTACAAAACCAGTCATTACCTTTAAATTACTTTCATTTACAACAATAAATCCTACAATTCTGCATGAGTAACTTACATTTTGCACCATGTGTCACAGAACAGACTCAGTCTAAATGGATCACTGGGTTAAATTAGTCATAAATGATAGTCTAGCTCTGAATTAATTGTTAACTTGTAAAAGAATTGCTCAACAATGTCTGCAGTTAAAATTTGTGTTTTTCAAAATATATAAAATGTGCAAATATACAAATATACAAAAAATATACAAAATATTCCTACAACAAAAAACTCCAATAAAATACTTGAAAAAATGTACTCAAAGGGATAGTTCACCCAAAACTGAAAATTGTGTCATCAGTTGCTCCCTTTTTACTTGTTCAAAGTTTGTTGTTTGAGTTTCTTTTTTTCTGTTGCACACAAACAAAGATATTTTGAGGAATGCTGTAAACCTGTAAATATTGACTATCATAGTTTTTGTTTTTTTCTGAATGTACGTCAATGATTACAGATTTTCAACTTAAAAAAAAAATGTATCTTTAGTGTTCAACACAAGAAAGTAAGTCAAACAGGTTTGGAACAAGTGAAGGTTGATTAAAAGTGTAAATTAAATTTTTGGGTGAATTATTGTACAAACACCTACGGTTCACCACTGATATTAAAGCACCTTATTAAAATCTTTTTTTGTAAGTGATTAAAAAAACAAATTCAATTAAATATTAAACAGCTTTTTTTCTTCCCACAGACATGGTAGCCAGACAGTCTCCTGATGGGTAAGATTGTTTGTTTTAACACACACACAGCTGATTCTGTGAGACATTCATGCCTTGTGCTTCAAACATTTTCCAGATGAAAATCTTGAACCTTATTATTCCAACAGGATGTCATCCATAAAAGCACTATAAATCTTTATATGCTCACTGTTTTAACAGTTTTTTATCTAAAGGACTTGTTCTGTTTTAGTTATGTATTCATAGGGTTGATGATTACCCTCCTAGTAGAACCCTTTTCTTACTAATGTGACACTTTTAGTTATTTAGCAGCTTGTTCTGGCTCTGTGACCTTTAAAGGTTATATGACAGATTTTTAGCACACATTTAGTAACAAGATTAAGCATTTAAATACTTTTGCATTCCTGTTTTGTTTCAGGAGTTCTGTTTCGATTGAGCCTCGAGCAGCCGAAGAACAAACCCCCATTTTGAAAAGAAATATAATTTATGAAGGTAATACATGAAGCATACCATATCAAAACATTTGTCTTGTTTGTTTGTGGTTCTGAATGTTTTGAAATCAATCTATTTAAAGCAGTTTACCTGGATGTCCCAAAATTTGTCATTAGTGCCTAACAATGTCTTAAAATGACTTGCAATGTTGAACAGGTTGAAGTAAAGTCAATTATAATGTCATGAGCATCACAGGAATGGTTCAGATCAAATCTGCAACACACACACTGCTCACTGTAAAACAAATCTTAAAAAGAATCAAAGAAACTTTTCTAGTCATCCCAACTTAAATTAATCAAACAGACTAAAATATTTTGTTAAACTTTGCATAGCTACAAAAATCTAGTTACCATCTGATTAACTAAGTAAATTAAGTTAAAGTACAGGGTTTCCACGCTTCTTAAAAGTACTTGAATTTCAGACATGTGGATTCAAGGCCTGTAAAGTACTTAAAAACAAACAGAGGTCCTTGAAAGAGCTTGAAGTTTGAAATGAAATTTGTTTATGGTTTTATTTCAACAAATGTACTCGATTGTCAAAAACAGAACAAAAAAAATGACAAAGTCTTCAATTAAAAAATCATAAATTTATATATATGACGCAGTGGCGCAGTAGGTAGTGTGGTCGCCTCACAGTAAGAAGGTCGCTGGTTCAAGCCTCGGCTTGGTCAGTTGCTGTCTCTGTGTAGAGTTTGCATGTTCTCCCTGTGTTCGTGTGGGTTTCCTCCAGGTGCTCCAGTTTCCCCCATAGTCCAAAGACATGCGGTACAGGTGAATTGGGTAGGCTAAATTGTCCATAGTGTATGAGTCTGAATGAGTGTATGGATGTTTCCCAGAGATGGGTTGCGGCTGGAAGGGCATCCGCTGCGTAAAACACGTGCTGGATAAGTTGGCGGTTCATTCCGATGTGGCGACCCGGATTAATAAAGGGACTAAGCCGACAAGAAAATGAATGAATATATATAAATGTATATATATATATATATATATATATATATATATATATATATATATATATATATATATATATATATATATATATATGCTAGCAAAGATCATGATTAGTCACATTCAAAATAATATTTTCAAAATAAAAATGTGTAGTTGCATATTATATGTGTGTGTACTGCTTAAATCCATTATGTATAAATACACACACTTGCATATATTTGAGAAACAGTTTTTTTTATGTTTAGATTTATTTATATATAGGCAGCACAGTTGCACAGTAGGTAGCACAATCGCCTCACAGCAAGAAGGTCAATGGTTCGATGATGGGTTGCAGCTGGAACGGGATTCGCTGCGCTGAACATATGCTGGATAAATTGCTGGTTCATTCCGCTGTGGTGTCCCCAGATTAATAAAGGGACTAAGCCAAAAAAGCCAAAAAGAATAAATGAATGTATAAATAATATATGTTAAATAAAACATAAAAAATAAATAATTATGTTACAAATTATATATCAATTTAAATATTTATGTAAGTTTTAGTTTTGTGTTTTGTTTTTATGTATGTGTGAATATTTATGAAAACAAAATATGTTTTGGATTTGATTTATTTAATTGCAATTAATCGCTGCCCAGCACTATGTTGCTTTCACATGAAAAAGCAAACATTGCATTGTGTTTCACATGTTGTTTTTACACGCCATTGCAGATATAAATCTCATGATGTGGAGCTTGTGGTTTTTTTTTCTATAAAGATGTGAAGTTTAGAAAATTATTAATTTTTGTAAATCATAAAAAATATACAATTAACTAATTGTAAATTAGCCAGAATTTTTAACAAGACATTCTTAAAGTTAAATTCTATGTGGATGTTTATACACTGCAATGGCAACATTGTTTAATTTACAAAACTGAGCAGTGCATCCAAACTTGATCCATGATATAAATTCACTTGAGAATGAATGACATTGTAATCCTGGCTGGGAAGTCATTTCAGTGCTTAAATCTGGCATATACTGTATGTTTTAAAATATGTCTGCAGGTTCATATTTTGAGCCAGGGTGCCTCTACGCAACGGTTTTGCCTTCTCCTCACAAACATGTTCAGACAGGTTGGTGGCTCTGAGAAGGGCCTGCACCATGCCTTCCTGTAATCCACACTAATGCAAAATCCACAAATCAGCACAGAATCCAAAGATCTGAAAAATCGCAATGACTAATCCAATCCAGACCCACAGAAATCTCACGGGAAAGAAAACAACACTCCCCGGTCCACACATTCAGACACTGATTCAGCTTAATAAATCAGACTCTTTGGAGATTTGTCTATTTCAGTCCAATCAAATAACTCAACAAACAAGTGATCATGCAAACAAAATCCTACAATGCACATACAGCGGAAGGCAAAAATGATTAGTCTTTTTCAAATATTTCCCCAGTTATCTTTGCAGATTTTCCTATAATAATTCAAGAACGTTTTTTTTTCTGTAGTTTGGCTGGAATAAAAGCAGTTTTTAATACCGTAATATGAAAAAATTAGGGTCAATTTTACGAGCCTCCTTAAGAATTTATATTTTTTTCAGTTGGCGACAGAACAGATCACTGTTGTCTAATGACTTTCCTAACAATAACCTCTAAATAACTACACAATTTTATGTACTGTCAACATGGCAAACATAAAAAATGTAAAAAATTAGTTATTAAAAAAATCGTGTTTAAAATGTGTTGAAAAAAACTTTTGTTAAACAGCACTTGGGGAATATATATAAAATAATATTTAAATTTCACTGGAAGGCTAATAATTTTGCCTTTTCTAAAAGGTCAAATCTGCAGTTAAGATCTGGTTAAGAATTCTGCATGTTCCAGATAACATGACAACATTACCTGGTGTCGCTTGAGGTATTGGGGACATCAACAGTTGTTATAGCAGAAGTTAAACGGTGTGTGCTATGTTTGTGCAGCCCCGGTTCACTCTCGGGAATGGTTCAGTGTGGTTTCAGAGCTCACACTGCGACTGCATAAAGGTACAATCCCCCCTCCTTAGGACTTATAGCTGTGGCTTTTTTGTATTTGACTATAGATATCCTTTTTCTATTGCACGACTCTTTGAGATACTTGTCAGCGATTGGTCAACTACCACCTTCAGCTGTCCTATTTTACGGCACTGATGGCAACAGTGCATATATAATCAGTCAACACTCGCTCGCTCACTTGCTCACGTTTTATTTAAACACAAATGACACCTTTTCATGGAGAACCAGGAGTGCTGGTTAGAAAAAAATGAAGAATCAAACAATCAATTTATTAACTGAAGCATAAAAATGTATTTATTTGTCCATTGTTTGTTCATTTAAACTGTACTTTATTTAAATACAATTTTATGCTTCAATTATTTAATTGATTATTTGACTCTGAATTTGGTTTTATTCTTAACCACACTCTTGGTCCTCCATATCTTTTTTAGAAAAAGTTATTAATACTTGTAAAAGTAATCAGAAGTCCTCTCTTTTTTCACTAGGCTGAGTTGTGTTTCCAAAAACCATCGTTAGCCATCTAAGGTTGCAAGTTTCGTGGTTACAAACATAGTTTGTTGATTTGGTGTTTCCCAAATCCATTGTTTCAACAAACATTCACAAAATGCATCACAAACTTGTACGCTTGCAACTACACCTCTGGAGCTGTAGTTAGAAACATAGTATTTTTACAGTTCAGTTTTAGCGATATTCATGTTTACAATTGCGTTGCCTTCGTAGTGCACTTTAAAAACATTTATTCCTTTTTGAACTCCGCCGTGGCTCATGAAAGATGTAGGTGACCTATTATTTAAAAGCGGAATTTACATTATGTCTCCAAAGCTTGTGAAAGCAAAAAACATAGCATACGCTAATGTTTTTAATTTATAGTAGGGTATTTATTAAGTATCTGTACAGAACATTTCTGTATTGTTTTGAATGTCAAACTGTAAAAGTAGACTTTAAAAAAAAAAATAAATAAATAAACAATCATCATCATCATCATCATCATCACCATTTTCATTATTATTAATATTATTATGAAAGAAGATTTTTTTCATTTCCCAATAAATAATAACATTTAATTTCTTAATAAATAGCCTCAATATTTGTTTGTTTATATGATATAAATGTGAAATTAGAATATGTGTTAGCTTGTTGTAAGTGATTTTATTTTTATAAAAGAAACATAGGCTCTATGTGGCCCATTTACATATATCTAAATTAATATGGAAAACAAGTTTATGTTTTTACCAAAACAAATATTGGATTTATTATTATTATTATTATTATTATTATTTAATTTGGGGTTCTTCTCTAAAGAAGTTGTTACCACCCCATTTAGAGAATCATTATGGAGGTTTTACGTTATAACTAACGTCATTCAAACAATGGATCTGCGACAAAGAAACTACGGTTTTGGGAAACACTCCTTACACTACATCGTGCTTTTTCCAAACGATGCATCATGCTATGACAGTTCAGCCACGAGATCGTTGTTTGGAAAACGCACCCCTGTTTGATTGCAATTGACTTATTTTACATATTTTTAAATAACATTTTATTAATGTATATATTTATTTATACATAATTGTATCCATATCATACCATATTATACCTAAATGACGGTGTATTTATTTATTTGGTTTGTAGCCGTGTAATATCAAGTGGCATATTTTGCGTTGAAGCCCAGCTGGGTGGACAATATCCCTTACATAGAATGTTAGATCAGTAAAACCCTTTCCTGCATTCATTTACCAGGCTTCAGGAATGATTGCCAACCCTCTCAGTTATTTTACTGTAGACTGTTTGTGTATTTTGCCATCATAGTCCCAGTGTTTTAGCCTATAAATAGACCCAGTGTTACAGTGTACTGTACTGTGCTTTAAATACAGGCTCTTGCTGTGCTATTACTGACTAGTAATGAGTACTCTGGCTTCCATATCCACTTCCTGCTGCTGTCATTTCTACACTATTTTAAATCTTTGTGCATTTTCCTCGGTGTATACACTTTTATATTTATATATGCACCATCACACTGACAATCCATGTTAGCTACAAAGCCACATGAAAAACATCAATGCTTCCAAGTAAAGCTGTATCAGTAACATCTGTGACATGATGACAATTACTGCAGAAAATATTTTCGATCTGTACATGTTGAGAGAAACGCACTATTGCAAGTGTGTACGATGCCAATGCAACTATTTCCCCAGATTTCCTACATTTCCCACTCATTTTCACAAGCTGAGTGATCAGAAATGAATTGTCTGCTGTAAACAAGAGCATGCCATGCTTGCTTAACTTGTGTTTAACCTGGAATATTCCCAGGAAAGATATTTATATTATACTCCTACTCCTAATTAATGTGCTCACTGAATATTAAATGATTTCCCTCTGACATCCCAGACTGTCTCGATATTTCTTTCAGATATTCAGAGGCCTAAAGAGTTTAAAGCAGAATTCACTTTGAGGTATTTTAAGCTCCCGTGGGGGAGTCTCAGCAGGCGACTTCATTAGGTAAAAAGAGGCTGTCAACAAATCTGTACAAACTGTCACAGTGGAGACGGGTGTACTTATTGTCAGTTCACTGTGTGTAGGAGTATGTTTGTTATTTTGTAGTTCTGTTGTCAGCATGCAAGCACAAATCTGTGTCAAAAAGATTAATAATGTGCTTTTCTTTGCTAATCAGGCATCAAATTCATTTATGCTCAGTTTATCAATCTGCTTAATATCTTGTTTGAGTTCTAAAAATCATAATCAAATGTAATTCTTTGTTTACAACTATGATCCAAAACTTTTCAACCCACTAATTTAACACTATTTTATACCTACCGTTGCCAGTAAATGTGTTATAAACATGTTTGTCCACTGTATTATGTTAATGTCTTCACAAAGAAATCTCTAAGGTCTTTAAATTTACACTTTAAACAAATTAATAAACAAATTATTAGTACATTACTTTAAAATCAAGTGAGTAAACCCGTTGCCTTAACTTTTAGATTTTTAGAATCATGCACAAATTGCACATAGATCATTTACTTAATACGACAATAAATGAACTTGTTTTTTAAGTAAAGTCAACTAATAGCTTTATAATAATGGGTTAACTGACTTTATTTTAAAGTAAACAAATTGCTTTTTACAGTGTATTGACCCAGGATCACTCTTAATTTATTTTCATCAACTGACATTTAATGTCTCTGAGACCTGTTTGGTAACAATGAAATGTCTTATCCATTGTGACTTAAACTTATTACTGCTCTCAGTGGATGGAAGTCATTTCCTCAGAACACAAAACATTAAGCTTTTTGAAATTAACAGCACACACACACACACAAAAAAAAAACATTATATTGGCCAGTTTGTCCTGCTGTCACTTATATATTACCAAAGAATATAGAATAAACAAGACATGTCACTTGTATACTTTTGAATGGTGAAAAGTGTAACTGTCAATATGGTGAATGATGCCCCTCCTTCTAGTACAGGAGCTAATCAGCAATCGCTATATGATGAATAAAGCCTGCAATTTAGTACATAAACCAATCAGCAACGCTATAGAATGACAATTCCTCGAGGGAGGGGATTGGACCAGACGACACAAACATTTTGAAATTAAACTAAATAGACAGATGTTGTTTAATTTTAGCAATTATTCGTAATATAAAAAGGAATCGTAACTTTAGCAAGTAGTTTTGGCGAATTTGATTTTTCCCTATTCAAACAGAATGCCCGAGCATACTGCCCAAGAGGCGTTTCAAAGATGGCCCCCGAGTGAAATGACTTGCCTTAAAGGGACTTTGATATTACATCATTAGTCTGGTTTTATTTAAACATCTTTTTTTTAAGTCTTTGACTGGAACACTTAAATCTATTGCTGAAAAAGTTTTATGTAGTTTTAAAAACATCCATCTGTAGATTTTAACCTGTGGCAGTTCTGCATTGTGTTAAATTCTATGTGAACCTGAAGTTGCTGAGATTTTTTTTTCTTCAGTCTGTTGATTTAAAGCCAACTAAACAGAATATTAAGTAATGGGCAGGTCTTTCTTTCTGCACATCATTCCCTCATAGCAAACTAACAGTTAGTGGGGCGTGGTTAAAATGTTGTTGCTGAAGAGAGAAAGGCCGCCACTCTAAACGCAGAAGCAAATGGTCAGACTTTGATAGAACATTATCAAAACAAAACTTTTCTTCTGTGTATTTAATTGCACAAATTAATTGTTCACATGTCATGATTTCACCAAGTATGCGATCCTGGATAATCATCTATGTTAATTCTGGAACATCATTTTTGTTGTAATACCTATACCCTACCCCTAAACCCAACCATAACTGTAAATTATTTCCAAAATCAGAGGGGAATAATAGTTGGATAACAATCATGTTGTAACAATCACCAGCGATCTAATCCTTACAGATCGCTGGTAAACACACAGATCACATAGGACTGCAAATCTGCTGGTTTATGGACTACAACATCCAGTCATACAACACATACACACGCCTGCTCCAAATCTCCATTGATTACACTCCCACAGCTGATACTGCTCATGGACTGATTACACACATAAATACAGCTCATTTTGACTCTCTCATTGCGAGTCTTGTAAACAGTTTTGTGAGCGTTTTTCCTTGCCTTGTCTTGCCTTGTTTTTTTGACCCTGTGCCTTGTTTTGTTTATTTACCTTGTCTGCTGCCTGCCCTCTGACATCTCGCCTGATATTTGACCACAGCTCTGCATTTGCCTGTATACATCTGTTTGCCCCTGAGTTGACCAATGCTTGCCTGACCAATCTGCTAAATAATCCTGCGTTTGGATCAGCACCCCTGGTGTCAGCCACCCATTCACATTACACATGTAGAAGTGCTTAAACCTAACCTAGGCCTAAACTTAACATAAACTGTAAACATATCCCTTAATTCTGATTGGCAAATTAGAATGTTGTTTCAGGATCAACATAGATTTTAATCCAGGATCACGTTCTACTTGGTGAAATCAGGCTGGCGTTAATGGTCACCTAGAGAATAAATATGCATTATGAAAATAAACTTAGTAAATTTTGATGTCATATTAGCTTTTAATTAGCTTCCAATCCCAATATGTATAGTTCCATATATAGTTCAATTAGAAGTCCCTTTGTTACATAATTGATGTGGTTAGATATTTTTAATTTAAGTGTATGAATGACGTTCTAGTTCTCTGTCCTCCAGGAAAAGCCGTTCCTGAATCAAACGGAGATTCACCCCCTGAACAAGAGAAGGTGAACTCAACTGCTCCTGTTCGCTCAGAGGTTGTATATGATGATGTGCCCTGTGAAAACATCACACCTCCGGATGTAGGTGAGTGTCTATTGGGTGTCATCTGTATTATCATCATCACCCATAGGAAAATTCCTCCAAAATTCCTCCTAAAATAGCAATGAGGTCACAAATTTTTTTTTTAATAAAGATTTTTTTTTTTTTTTTTTGGATTTTTGCCTTTATTTGACAGAACAGTAGTTTTGACAGGAAGTGAAGTGGGAGAGAGAGGGGGGTATGATCAGGAAAGGTCCACGAGCCGGGATTCGAACTGAGGACACCCGGAGCACTTCCGCACCATGTGTCAGTACGCCAACCAATAGGCTATTGCACTGATATGAGGTTGCAATTTTTTAAAATCTACACTCAAAGAAATATATATATTTTTGCTTGTTTAAACTACTTTTGTAAAATAAGCTGAAACAACACAATTTTTGATATTTCATTGGCACAACTTATTTTTTATGTTCAACCACATACATTTGTACAAAGTGTGTACACTGTATTAAATGGAGGATTTCACACAATTTATTCATGTTGTCCTAACACAAACCGATTTAAGTTACTTATTTGTTTTCACAAATTTAAGTTGATTGAACATAAAACAATTAAGTTGTACCAAAAAAAGAAATCGTGTTGTTTTAGGCCATTTTAAATAAGTAGTTTGAATAAGCAGCAACAATAATAATTTGAGTGTACATCTACATTGTGCTATTTAAATGAAATCTACATAAAAGTAACAGTACCACATCACCAGATAAGAGGTTGTACCTGTTAGTTGCAACAAGTCTATAAGTTGCCCCAATATCAAATTTGCTTTGTTTAGAAATAAAAGAACAGGTAAGTAGCATTGATTTTTAAGTCACATTTTATCATTTTATTTACAGATAATATGAAATAGGCTACTGTAGTCTTTAACTGAAATAAAATGATAAAATTATAAACATATTTTAGTCCAAATTATTTGGCAGGCCAAGCAGAGCAGGCAAACATAAAAGAAGCGTCAATTATAGTGGCATTTACTATGAAACATTTATTATAAATGCAGGTCCCACTTTATAATAAGTTACCTTAACTACCTTGTACTTACATCAAAAACTATTAATACAATGTACTTAATGTGTTCATAATCTATTGCGGAATACTTATGGTGATATAAGGGTGGGATACGAGTAAGATTAGGAAAAGCTTGGTGATAGGCTTAAGGGTGGGTTTAATTATAAGAAATTAATTACAGATGTAAATATATGCAAGTATTTATTCAATCGTAAGTTAAATGTAAAAACATGTATTTACACAATAAGTATATTTTGACAAATTATTAATTTCAATGTAAGTACATATTAGTTAAGGCTACTTAAAATGGGAATTGCATTATATAAGTTGAAATGTAAGTCATAACATATTTAAAATGATAAAAAAATGGAAAACATCTGCAAGAATGATATTTTTTTTATTTATTATTTTACAGTGTAGAGTTTCTGATTTACCAAGATATTCTATAAAACAATTGTTTTTATATAGTTCATTCATGTGATGGGAATGCTTCATTTTTACAGCCATTAATCCAAATTGAGGATAATGCATAAGTCCGACAAGTTTCAGAAAAATAAAAATATTATGGAAAATATTGTAAATACAGAACTGTATCTGTATAGTTTTTGTTGCAGTGCAGAGTTTCAGATTTAACAAGGCATCAATGATTTTATTAAAAGTTCAAACACTTCCTTAAGAATAGCATCAAACCATCTGGAATATGATATCCTCATTAAGAACTTTAGGGAAACTAAAATCATACATTAATGCACTAAAAAAGTTGACAGTTTTTTTTTTTTTTTTTTATCGGCCTTCTTTTTTTTTTTAGGCCACTCAGTGGGGTGCATTAATCCACTAGAGGGATCCGTGAATTATGAGGAGCCCATGAGACCCAGAAACAGAAAAGTGCTAAAAAAGTGCAAACTCTGAGCTACAGAATGTCCCCTCGAGTAGTAATCAATAAATTCCCTTTGCAGGCAGTAATTTGTTTTCACCCTTTAGCAATCAGCCTGTACCAACCAACCTACTTATGCTTCTCATTTGTATGTAAGCTTCAATGAGGATGTCTGTCTTCCTCTTATCAAAAATACTTTGTTATGTGTTATTTATCAGTGGATGACGTGATCTATGAGGAGGTGCAGAGATCTGGTGAATCTGGATTGATAGACAATGGCTGGGGCTCCAGTGAGTTTGAGAGTTATGATGAGCAGTCAGATAATGAGACCAAGCAGCCCACCCGTAATAAGGTAAACGCACATCAAGAGTGTTTAAACAAGTAATATATTTCTGTACATTGATTAAAAAGAAAACAACAATTTATTTTACTGGTAAATCCAAAATCTGTTGGTAGAACTCCTACTGTATTTAATCCATCACACAGTATAAAAAGTTTTATAGTTTAACATTTTTTTTCCCCAAAGACAACTGTAAACCATAAGCTAGATTTATTTGTTCCTGTAAACAAAATAATTCTGAGGCAAAATCAGTTTTGTTTGGGCAGTCCAACATTAGAGCAGTCATTGATGTGAGTTGGGGCCTTTAAATGGTTTGACCAGTGACAAATGAGGGAAACCTGGTCAACAACAAACATTATGTTTGTCCATTCTCTTCATTAAGTCTTCAGTCAAGCAGAAATGACACACTTCAACTTTAGAAAAAAGGAAAAGGATCTTTTTGGCGCTCAGTTTTGTTTCAGTTCTCCTTCCTTGCTGGGTTTACCCTGTTCCTGTTCTTAGTTATTGTGTACTGATGCACGGAGAAAGGATCAGGTCTTAATCCACAGATGTTGCACGTCATGCATGAAAACAGGTACAGAAAGCCTTTGCTAGACTAACCAGAGAGCCCAGAATGAGCATTAAGGGGCCTTAAATTCAGTTAAAGACTATTTTATTGGCAGAAGCGCTGTTTAAGTGCATTGTGTTAGCTTGGTGAACTGAGACAGACAGTATCTTAGGCTCAATCTTTTGTCTTACTGTCTCGTTCGCTCTGTTATGTCTGTCTTTATTCCCTCTCTCGTTGGCCTTGATGTTATCACTATCTGCCTGTGTTTCTCACTTTTTTCATTCTCATTATTTTCTTATTTTTCCCTTCTGTTTTTTTCTATCTTTTTTCTGTGCACTAATATTTATAACCCCACTCCACTGTACCGCCTGTGGACATGCCATAATGGACATAGATTTCCCCAGATGTACGACGTCTGAAGCAACGCTGTGTCCAGACCAGGCGTGAGCTAGCCATGCGGTTAGGGGCAAGGGATGTCGGCCAGCTCAAACAAAACTATGACATTAAGGTATATTAATGAGGTGATAGATATGTGGTCTTCGGTGATCTTTGGGATGCTTGAGACAAAATGTGTGTTTTTGAATGCCCATGTTTGTTTTCTGTAATAAATCAGCTCCATATTGACAGTTTGTTAACACTTTATATTGATGGTCCCTGTTGCACATTTTGTTGACTAAAAGTTGCATTGCAATTACATGCCAATTAATTCTTTTTTGAGTAATTAGCCTGCTTAATACCTGCTAAAACTGCTCCTTCAACAGACATTAAACTGACTATAAGAAGCTTTGCAAGTACATGTCAACTTACACTAACCCTAACCATAACCTAACAGTCTACTTCTGATCTAATAAGAATTGGTTGGCATGTGTATCTTAAATTCAACAAAATGTGTTAAAGGGACCATCAAAATAAAGTGCTACAAATAGTTTTATAAAGTTTAGAGGTGTTTTTTCATGGCTGGTTGCATCAAACAAACAAAATAGGTTTTGTATGTAGGACAAAAATTAAAAATGTGTATTGCAATATCTGGCAAATCCATTTTTCAGTTAAATGAATACATTTATCTGGCAAAGGTGCAATATATTTTCACACAATAATTTTATGCAATAAATCAAAAGTAACAGTAATGACACTTATAATGGATTAAATAATTTATAATTTAAAACAATCCTGTACTTTTGGATATACATATGTTATATTTATCTATTCATAAATATAAAAAGGTCAAGTGCATCACTGTTTCCACAAAAAATCTTTAGTAGCATAATTTTATATTAATGCAATTTTAATAAGCAGAGATGTTTTTTTGAGTAGCAAATATACATATTGTAATGATTTCTGAAAGATCATGTGACACTGTCAACTTTACAGCTTTGCATCACAAAAATAATAACATGAATTAATTAAACATATCACAATATTGTGGATTTTTTCTATTTTTACTAAGATAAAAAAGCTTTGGTGAGTATATGAGACTTCCCACAAAACACAATAAAAGAAGCAGAAAATAGCTGTAATTTGCAATGTTACATTATTTAGTTGTATTCGAAAAGTTTAAGTACAATTTGTGGTTATGTAGTAGTAAAAGGGCTGAGCGATTAATCGAAAAGTAATAGAAATCGTCATTCAAAACTTATAATCAATCAAATTTTTTCAGGTTGATTTTTTTCCATTACTTTCCTTACTGCATGTGGAGTCACATGACCCAGCTCTGTTAGCCACACTTTGTAGCCACATCTGATCTCTGGTCAAGTAGGACGACAAACCCATTCTTGTGCCTTTTGCTTTGCACTACAATTACGATGATTGGAAACTCCACCAGTGAAGCCTTGAGACGGCATATTTTCCAATACATTAAAATGATTATTTACATAAAAATATTTGTTTACAGAAAATGCAAGAAATGCACTGTTTAAAATATTATTTACAGGGCATGCAAGAGTTATTTTATTTAGAAAATATTTTGTTTTCTAGTTTTAATATGAAAAATACTTAAAATAATTTTATTTGTTTCCAAAAGTGCCAAAAGTGGTTTATTTTCACTTTTCTATAAGGAAAAAAAAAACAATCGTTTGTTTTAGGCAATGAATGTGTGGGCAACGCGGTGGCACAGTAGGTAGTGCTGTCAACTCACAGCGAGAAAGTCGCTGGTTCAAGCCTCGGCTGGGTCAGTTGGCATTTCTGTGTGGAGTTTGCATGTTCTTCCCGTGTTCACGTGGGTTTCCTTCGGGTGCTCCAGTTTCCTCCACAGTCCAAAGACGTGGTTCAGGTGAAATGGGTAAACTAAAATTGTCTGTAGTGTATGAATGTGAATGAGAGTGTATGAGTGTTTCCTAGTGATGGGTTGGAGCTGGAAGGGCATCCGCTGCATTAAAACATATGCTGGATAAGTTGGCGGTTCATTCTGCTGTGGCGACCCCAGATTAATAAAGGGACTAAGCCGAAAAGAAAATAAATGAATGATATGAGAGACTTCCTTTGTTTACCAAATAAGTGGATCTAATTTGATTTGCATTGTAAACATTAAACAAAAGTTAAAAAGGTATTACTTTTTATTTCATATATATTATATATTTTAGTTATGACACTCCCAAAATAATTCAGCAAAAAAACGCAGTTTTAACACAATTCTGCTTAGAAATAGCAAAACCTGTCTGCAGATTCCGTCTGTCCCTACTTATAAGTCAAGAATAGAGCACTGAAGATTATTAATGTAGAGTTAAAGCTTAACGAATAATGAACTCACTATTTGCTAATGCTTTATAAATGATTCATAGTTATTATTGTATTATAAAATGTTACCAAATTTCTCACTTGTAATATGTGAGCATATTTACTGTACAGAACTTATCAGTGAACTATGAGGACAAAATGAAAATAAATTGATTAATAAAATATTCGTTCAATAATCATATTTGGACTAAATTGTTCCATTAATCGACATTTTGATTTTAGGTCAAATCGCCCAGCCCTGTGTTGTAAAATGTCATGTATATCATTGTTTGAAATGGGCAGATTTTTATTTATTTTTTTCCCACAATGAAACTGAAACTGTGTGAAATTCACTGAGTGTTGCAACTGAGTTGAATCAGACTTTTAGGATTTGTTCTGCTGATGAACACACTGAATCCACAAACAGGAATTTATCTCTATTTCTTTTAGTTCTCATTTTGTTCTTCTCTGTCATCTTATGCAGCTCTCTCTTTTCTCCCGTAGGTTCAGCAGCTCATGAAAGCAGCGAGGAATGGCACTAAAGATGGACTGGAAAAGACCAAAATAGCCATGATGCGAAAAGTGTCCTTCCTGAGTAAAAAAGAGTGCACAGGTTTGACTCGTTGACTCTCATTTCCTCTTGTTCATTTCTGGTACTTTTTTTTCTGACATATGGTACGTTGCAGTACAGAAACAATACTTGAAACTAGATGTGTCTTATAATGTTTTGATAGCAGGTGGCATTTATTATTAGATCTCCAGAATTGTGATCATTTAGATGAAGATGGCAAATTTCGGAGTAGTCTGTGATGCCATTGTGATTGAGGATTTTGACTGTAATTGTGTAGATGATACAGAGGATGATACTGGATATCTGGACGTGACTGTATCTGAACTCAAACATCCACCACCTCAGCTTTCTCCAATGCCAGAAGGGCTCAGTAGCCAACAGGTGCGTTTTTGTTTATGTGCTTGTGTGTGTGAATCTGTTGATATTTCTGTATTTATATATATATATATTAACATTACATTACAAACAATTTTTCAGTCAGCAATTAATTGAAAATTAATACTACTACTAATACTAATTCTACTGCAAGCATTCAGTTAAAATTCAAATCTTTTGAATTAAAGTGTATATTTATATTGAATGTTGGATTTTTTTTCAGTTACCTAATTTAACTCAACTTCACCTTTTGCTATTTGTGGTTTGTGTGTCACAGGTTGTCAGGCGTCATATTCTTGGCTCAATCATCCAGAGTGAAAGAAGCTACTTAGACTCTCTCAAGAGGATCCTGCTGGTAGGTGACATAACCATGACACAATGTAACATTTGAGGGCCAAATTATTAGCCCTCCTGTACAATAATTCTTATTTTTTTAATATTTCTCAAGTGAGATTTATTAGAGGAAGAACATTTTCGCAGTATTTCTGATAATATTTTTGCTTCTGGAAAATGTATTATTAGTTTTATTTTGACTATCATTAGTTTTATTTTGACTGACTACTATTTTGACTTTATCAACCCCCTTAACAAATAATGTTTTTCGATTGGCTAGAGAACAAACCATTGTTATACAATCACCTAGTTAACCTAGTTAAGCCTTTAAATGTCACTTTAAGCTGAATACTAGTATCCTGAAAAATGTCTAGTAAAATATTATTTACTGTCATCGTGGCAAAGACAAATAATCAGTTATTAAAAATGAGTTATTAAAACTATTACATTGGAAATGTGTAGAAAAATATAATAAGCTCATTATAACATAAGGTAATATAACAAGCAATCATGACTACAACTCCAATTTCAAAACTCAAACATTTTTCACAACGCCCATCTTTGCAGATATTCACATGTACATTGCAAACATTTTGTTGTATTACAAGTTGTGTTTCACTTTTCATGCATCACAGTAATGATCAATCTACAGGTTATTCAATGCAATAACACATCTTTAAATTTTGTAATCTCTCAGTTTTTCAGGTTAAAAGTAAATCAGGCAAAAGTTCCTGTGGGGACGAATGTAACACTGTTATTTATGTAGCACTGCCAATAACCATACCTTATTTTTCACTTCCACATTACAGTTTGTAGTGTTTTAAATGAGATGTTTTAAAAATGTATGCATAATTGCCCATAATAATAAAATAAAAATCATATATTGTAGAAAACGTTGCATTGTTGGATTGCTTTAGAAGCATTTGATGGGGCTGAATTTAAAACATTTAAATGGCGTTTAATATATTTAGCAAAAATAAAGACAAAATATGTTTGAGGTTAACATTAACAAGGTCATAGTCAGATATATTTCAAATAAATAAGATTAAGTGAGTAAATCTAGCAAATTTTGTAAATATTACTTTTGACCCACCCGTGTTACTTTCAACAATTCTGATGGGTTCAAAATTAACACTGAATTAAAGTGAAGCTATATTGGAGTTGTTCTACATTGAGTTAGTAACCACAACAAAAATATATTTCTGCTAAAAACATTATGTTTCAAAATAAAATTTTTATGAAAAATGTTTTTTTTTTTTGTGGAGGAGTACAATCAGACTTTAATGAGGCCAATTCACCACAGACAATCATTCTATTAGCCAATCAGCTCAAGACCAAACCCCTATAAATAGTCAAACACGTCATACCTCTGTTTTTTCTTGACTTAAGCAACTCTCCACCACCCCAACCCCACACTATTAAAGACAATATCTACTTAAATCTGATTGGGGAGCGTTCTGGAGCCAGGCTAGACACTGCGCTTGGACCCTATCTCTCTCTATCATCATAAGGGGAATATCACGAGTTAGGGTGTCTTTCTGAGCTCAGAGCCCTCTCCCTGGACACCACGCCAAATACGCATATTCTAGTCAGTCAAATATTTGTAAATGTGAATGTCGTGATTGTCTATAAAGCTCAACATTCAAACTCAAATTAGGCATAGCAGAAATAGAAACTATTTTTGAAGTAGATTCCCCTGTCACTAGTGACATATTGCTATTGTAGCTGGATGATATGAAATTGTTAACACAGAAAACATGCCATTGATTAAATGTTGCTTGTTTGATTTCATTTTTTTAAATGAACAGAGATATAAGACTAAATCTAAACGTAAAAGTGACTCATACCTGCGTTATATTTTAGGAGTATAAGAAGCCTTTGATGGAGGCCGAGCCCCGGATCCTGAGCCTGAAAAAGATCCAGCCTATTTTTTACAGGCTGAAGGAGATCCTGCAGTGTCACTCCATGTTTCAGATTGCTCTGGCGTCCCGTGTAGCAGAATGGGATAACACTGAGAAGATTGGAGACCTTTTTGTCGCTTCAGTACGTCTCCTGTTGTTCTACTAAAATGTTCAATTTGTGGTGTGTTTCACAGCATGTAGATCATTGATTTTTTTTTCTCAGGTTAGAAAACTTAAAGATTTTATACCTTGGTAACACTTTACAATAAAGTTTTATTAGTTAATGCGTTTACTAACATGAGCAAACAATAAACAATAGATTTATTACCATGTTTTTTCGTCTTTATTAATGTTAATTAATGCAAAAATTCATTTTTCATTCATATAAAATGATTAATTTAAATTATTTTATCACACATTTTTTTTGTTTTAAACATTACCCATTTTGTTCAGTGGCATTGATTGAGCTGATTCGTGCAGCCATAAATATGCCATTGTGTATTCCAACTCACTTTAAGAATAAGATTTTTGCATGAATAAGCTTTGTCATATTTTTTTATTAAAGTCAAATGAGCTGTGAAATAGCCTGTATTTTTAGATGCCAACATGACACGATTTCTGTTGTTTCTGTAATGAGAGATCTTTGCAGATGGAAAAACAGAACATCCTTTAGTCAGCAGTTTTATTTAAAGTGTGCTAATTTCCTCTGCATCACCCAGGCTGCGCCCTGCAGCTGAGCACATTTTGTTAAAATCAGTTTAATCAGAACAATCCCGAAAATAGTCATAACTTTTGACAGTAAAAATGCAAGCGCAGTACATACTGTTCTATCATGAAGCATTATTATGTGAATCTTGTTATGTCTGAACTGTGTGTTGTTATGTCTGACACTGAGTGGATTAATCTTCTTTTCCCTTCAGTTTTCCAAGTCAATGGTGCTAGACGTCTACAGCGACTATGTCAACAACTTCACCAATGCTATGGCCCTTATCAAGAAAGCCTGTATGTCCAAGCCAGCGTTCCTGGAGTTTCTCAAGGTGAACCTTTCCAGTTGTTCTTCAATGTTCCTTTTCAATGATTAAAGTAAAAAACACTAAACCTTACATTTTAAAATGAATTGCTTCAAATGAGTGCAGGAACACAATATATAGAGTATCAAAATTGATTTTCAATTTGACATTTGATAAAGTTTTAATGTTTTAAAATACATTTCAAATTGAGAATTAGATTATATATTGGTATTCACATTTTATATGCATATGCACATTTTATAGGCATTCACATCAGTCGACAACCAATTTTTTCAGATTTACTAAAATTTAAATGTAATATTATTAATAAAGTTATTAAAGTGTAACATAAAAGTATGCAAAAAATCCTATTCTTATTGTAAAATTAAATATCAAGTAATGATCACATGTAAATGCAGCGTGTTATTTATCCGATAATGAATATGTTATTGATAAATCATGTTTCACTAAAGAGTAAATCTAAATAATCAAGTGTTTAACTGTTCTTACACCAAAGGTGTATATGCACAGACTTTTAATTTCAGCCAGCCAGCCTCAGCGCTTCAAGTCTTTCCATTATGAAATTGCCACGTTTAAATCTTTAAAAATCAGTGATCTTCACTGCCTGATAGATATACAATATAAAGTGCGTCTCAGATCAGACAAGAAGCACTGCATTAAATTACATTTTTCCTCACCATGTCTATAAAATATGTTAGCTTATTTTATCTCAGTATTTTCATTGGAGTTTATGCGCTTGCCTGTTGATCCTGACAGAGCTAGCGGTCTTTTATCTCGTTTTACGCTTGAACAACTAAATGAATGCTTAAGTCTATTTAACTGAATGTACTGTATTTACATTACAACATCGATGCTGTAAAAGCAACATTATGAAATTAAAAATAGTCATATAACGTTTTACAGGAAATTTATCATTGCCTAAAAACACAAGCTGTGCATATAGTCCATTAGCATTTTGCTAAAAACACCAAGAACACCTTAGCAAATGCATAGCAATGTTCTGGCAATTAATCATAACATCCCATTCTTTCATGGCAGCAATCTGGCATGTACTAACTAGCATCACAGTTTTCTTTACATGGTGTAAATATTTAGTTTCAACTGTTTATTTTTTTTTGTCTAAATCCCTTTTTTTGTGTTTTCATGAGTTGTAGAAGAAACAGGCCACCAGTATAGACAGAATTACTCTTTATGGCTTGATGGTCAAACCAATCCAGCGCTTTCCTCAGTTTATCCTCCTCCTGCAGGTTAGTGCTCTTATCCAAATACACACACACACACACACACACACACACACACACACACACACACACACACACACACACACACACACACACACACACACACACACACAGATACTTGTATATATGGTTCACCAGGACTCTACATAGATGTAATATATTTTTTACTGTAAAAGACACTTATTACCCTACCCCTAATCCCGACTCTTACAGGAATCATGTGGCAAAATTAAAATGTAAAATGACCCAGTTGAGTAAGTTTTGAATTACAAGGACAAAAGGCATGTTCTTGTAAGCCACCTTAATATAATACAATGAGATCATACCCATGATGCGTTTGTTGATATTATCCAAGTTTGTCCTCGTAACGTACATAAACAAATACACATACATACATTTAGTCTTTGTGACTTATGGGGACATTCCATAGGTTTTCATTGTTTTTATACTTTACAAATGTTATTCTCTATCACCTTAACCCAACCCTATCCTTAAACATAACTCTCACAAGAATTTTTTAAATAGAAAAACTTACAATACCTATGTCATACCAATGTCATTACACAATGTTGTGTCCTCGTATGTGACAAAAACATACACATACCATTTCCTGTTCAGAGAGTGTTTAATGATAATGGAGTTTTCTCAAACTGTTCAGCACGGTAAAGTGAAAGAAATTTAATTTAAACACACGCATGCAAACTATCAAAACTATATTATGATATGGCAGAGCAAATGTTTAAAAAATGTAAACATGAACGCTGCTGAAATGCTTCTTATATGCTGTTTACTTATATAAGATTGGTATTTTACTACAGCAGCGAAAAAGCAAGTTTTGTTAGGATTTTTCTGTCATTTGAAAATTTCATCTCAGTAACTTCATTTGCATGTTGCCCCTGGGGGCTGAGACTAGCTGTTATCACATAGGTTTTACAGGGTTTAAATAAGGGTGTACTGTAGCTAGGCTGTTTAAAATGAGTTTGAGACAACAGTTAAGTTTAGCTGAGATAGCTAAATTGGACTCATTACAGAAAGGGTACAATAAAACAACATTCCCATTCCCTATTTATAATATATTCCCATTCCCTATTTTATTTTCACTGACTAAATTTAAACTCGATTTTATCCATAGGAATGAAAAAGTCTTCTCTAAATTGCAGATATTTAGAAGGGAGGATTACAAAGACTTCAAAGAGTTGTTAATTGGATACAATTGCACTGATGTGTTTCGCACAATAAAGCCGAAGGTGTACAATGAAGAAGAGGGCATGACTTAACACTTTTGCCTTTCTCAGTTTGTGTAATTCCACATGTTGTTCAGAGTATATTTTTCCCAAATTAATTTTACACCTCACTAGGACAAACAGTGTTTTTTTCCCTCCATTGCAGTGTTTACCTTTTTTATACTTTAGCTCAAAAGAATTTAAGTGAAATGTGACAATATGCCCTATAGGTGGAGCACATTGTAACATCTGAGTGGCTCATATGCCATATAAAATGTTGTCTTATCTAATGAAAAAATGTACAATACGAACTAAAATATTTTCTAATATAAATTAATTATTTACAAAAGTTACTCTTTTAAAAATTGATTTTGAGAGTGAACACAATTCAAAAGAGTGTGGCCAGAGAAATGAAGAGACACTTTCAGACATAGAGAAAAAATAATCCTAACTGTTACAGTATAGCATTAGTTTAATAATAGCATGGCGCATTGAAGCACATTGAAACAGTGTTATCCATCTAGTTAGCATCTTCTGCAGGTTAGCAAAGTATTGAAGGCACTAAATAATATACATGATAATAAATTAATAAATCTCTTATTAATAAACACTAAAAACTGGAATGAAAAATTGTATATTTAAAGAAATGTTTGACAATATCTTTAAGATTTTGGAATTTGGCCATTTATTTCTCTTTTTAGTGTTGTTATGGCAAAAAGAAAATATAGTAGATTTTGTAATGCTAGCATGTATGGAAATGTTTAAACCATGTGGGTTACAATCAGTGGTGGACTAAAAAATTATACTTAAGTAAAAGTATCATTACTTGCCTAAAAATGTAGTGTAAATAGAGTAAAAGTATCTGTTGTAAATATTACTCAAAGAATGAATCAAAAGTAGAACTTTCAAAAATACTCAAAAGTGAGTCGTGAGTATTACTCTGTAGAAAGCTGATGCATTTACATGTAATTTGGGGGGTGGGGGTGTAAACATAATATTCTGTAGTGCATTTAGTTATTGCTCAGTAGGCACACAACATCATAAGACATTAGAATAAGGTTGTAATGCCCGATGACCAAAATTCAATGTCTAGCAAGTGTCTAAGGACAATGTGATCCTGATGTCCAATAAAAACATCAACTGATGTTGATATTTGGTTGATTTTAGGTTGTGTTAGAAAGTGACCAAAATCCCACGTTGAGCAAACATCTTAAACCAACTTCATATTGACGTCAAATACTGACAACCAAAATCCAGCATCTGATAGGTGTCATACTGGTAATGTCCACACCATGTGAAGCTGTAACATCATTAGATGTTGATATTTGGTTGATTTTAGGTTGGACGTTGGACAATGACGACAACCCGATTTTGACTTCCAAACAAAAAGCAATGTCCCCACGATGTTGGGGTACAACGTCAATCTGACCTCATGATGACCTCTTGTGCCTGCTGGGTGTTTAAGGACATTTCAGTCATCAATTGAGTAAACATCTGTAAAATTCTCATCAGTGACATGTATCTAAACAGAGTTTAGGTCATTGCGTGTAAAGATTTTGGACATCTTCTTGGACACTTTTAATGCTTCCAAACAGCTGAAATTATAAATCATCCATGTCTTGGGGTTGTTCATTATGATGCGATTTACTTTCTATGTGCGATTTGATTGGACATGAATCACAAGACAGATTTTTCTAATCCTAATAGACAAGAAAAAATAAAGTAGTGACTGCAGGTTGAAGGAAAGTAGCAGAGCAAAAGTACCGATACAGAACTTAAAATGTACTCAATGAAAAGTAAAAGTGCACATTTTTAAAACTACTTAGTAAATTACAATTTCTTAGAAAAAAACTACTTAATTACAATAGTTTGAGTATTTTTAATTTGTTACTTTACACCACTGGTTACAATTAACCCTTTTGATAGTGTTCACCATGTATACTTTTTTTAAAGCATACTCTATTTAAATATGCACAAAGTGTCTGTGCTTAGTTTTTTGTAAAAAACACAATTTTAAGTTTTTTTTAAAATCTCTAAACGCATGCATTCAGTTGTTTTTGCCATCTTCGGTTTGTTGTTTAATGTGTACTATTCCCTCCAAAGATAAATTTATTAGGTTCCTTGACCAAGAACACTTAAAGGAACACTCCCCTTTTTTGGAAATAGACTAACTTTACAAGTCAACTATTGTTAAACAGTTGAGTACCATTTTTGTGTCTTTCAGAAGCTGTTTTAGCTTAGCTTAGCATAAATAATTGAATCGGATTAGACCATTAGCATTTCGCTCAAAATAAAAAATACAAAAAAAGAAGTAATTTAGAGAGTTAATAATGTTCCAATTTAAAGCTTAACTCTTCTGTAGTTATGATATCATGTTGCACCTGAAAATAGTCCCTAGCTAGGTGACTTTGTAACAGTGCTGCATAATATCATTGTGCCTGCTGCAGCTATGCTACGGGAGCAAAGTTCCTTATTATTATGCCAGAAAGATATAGTTTCTAGTCATATTGACCATAAAAAAAGCAACTCTTCATTTTACGTCAGTCTAGTACACAATGTAACTAGTACAGAAGAATTCATCTTTAAATTATTTGAACTTTTTTTTTTTCTTATTCTTTGAGCAAGATGCTTATGGTCTAATTTGATTCAAAGATTTACGCTAAGATAAGCTGAAAAAAAGTTCCCACCAGACTTGGCTATTGGCTCAATCGATTTGAAAATGTTAAAACTCAAACATTTAACTCTGGGGGAGTTGTGAAATGAACCCATTTCCAAAAAAAGTGTTCCTTTAACATCTTTCACTGTCCCACAAGTAGTTATTGATCACTTTGCATGACTAAAGCAAATGTAAGCAGACATATCTGTGTGTGTTGGCAGGACATGTTGAAAAACACCTCTGTGGGGCATCAGGACCGGCTGCCGCTGCAGCTGGCGCTCACTGAGCTGGAGACTCTGGCAGAGAAGCTGAATGAGCAGAAACGTCTGGCCGAGCAGCTAGCTGAGATCCAACAGCTCGCTCGCAGCATCAGCGACCGCAGCCTCAGTAAGGTCAGAGTTCATCACACTTCAAACACTTCAACGTGTCAGCAACCCAACAACACAATGATTTGGCTTTACAAGCTCATTTGGTTGGCAGTATGGAAGGACATGAGCTGTTAGTGTGATCGAACTGCTACTTCCACGTTTCCTCTTTCTAGAAATAGCTTTGGCAAAGATGTTTCCATGCCAGGATGGCGGGTTGTCAGTGAAAGTAATTTTAGAGGGAGCTATTTAAGACCTCATGATATCAAAACTGGAGTTCGGTGGTTTTTAGTTCAAGTATGTTAGCTTTAAAAATGTCCTTCACATAACAAGCCCTTTGATAAATCTATGTCTATATTTCTCATGTATGAAGTCATTTTCGCTGTAGTGTGTACAACAGACAGCATGTTGAAGAAAAAAAAAAAACTGAAGAATTATATTTATTATCCAGAAATTGTTTGCATTTTTTGTGTGCATTCTTTTTTACAGACCATGAATGTTAAAGTACCTGATGACAAACTTCTTCACTGACAATTATGTGGACTATTTCTATACAATATGTTGTTTCCATAATTAACTGTCTTTTAAATTGTTACAAATTAAATACTTGGAATGTAAAATGTGTAACCTGAAAACTACTTATTTTGTATTATTTTAAAAACATGTACTATTTTATTTCGCATTATACAGTGATCAGCATGAATAAGTACACCCAATTTTGAAAATGAATATTTAATATATTATTAATATAATATATTTTAATGGATTAAACAAAACAGATTTATAAAATCAATATTTTTATTGAAATAATATTTTTGTCACTGAACGTCAAAGATCATTCACACTAGCAGCAACTTTGTAGCTGCATGTCCCTCTGGGGTGGCAACCTGCTGCAAACCTGGGGTCCGTTCTTTGTACATGGATTACTCAATTAGCTGGATTTCTTTATTGACGATTTGACACGATCCAGGATCGTTTCGTTCTTCAAATCTTATCCGAGAGTTGTTGTCATAACAACCGGTCTGGTAGCTCAAACCTGCTCAGGAGCAGGCTTATTTCATATAAATAGGATTAGATCATTTCTGGAGTTGGGTACCAAAACTCGGTGCCACTATGGTATGCACCGGATCCAATCAGCATATAATTTTCGGTGCAGCAACAAGAACGTAAAGCAAGTCGCGCACCGGAAGCGCCGATCGGGGACGCGCAGCACCATGCATTTAGAATTCACAAGTCAGCGGCTGTCCGCGCCGTCCAGTGGCCAGCCACGACTCATGACTGTTCATGTTTCTGCCATGCCACAGAGCGCCTTCTGAAAAGTTTCATTTTAAATAACATGTGAATATGCACGTCTGGTGTGTGATACTATCATCTGTCATGTGCCGCGGCTTTGAGCGGTGCATCCGCTGTGTTACGTGCTTAAGAAGCATAAAGGAGTGCATTAAAGATACACGTGAGTAAGCATTGTGTTACACCATCTCTAAATGTTTAATTCTAAACAGCTTTGAGAGATACGGATGTCAGCGATGTCAGGCAAAGCGCGCAGAACAGCGCTTGCGGCGAGCGACTCACTCCATCAACACGCATGATCGCGTTCATCTAATTTGCTTAAACTAAGCATTCTACAGTATGGCTATATTTTACAAGCAAGGATTCTGGCACACCAATATGCAGCAGATGTTTTTCAAAAGTTGCATGTAAGAGAGAAACACGTCAAACTTATAAAGTTAGAGGGCTCATGGAATCACCTTAAAGGTGAGGAATGGACCATCTCTGACAGCTTGTGACATCGTCTGACACATTATCTGAGTACGTTTACATGGACACCAATAATCTTGATTTTAATATGATTAAGACAATACTCTGATCAAGAGTCTACCACGTAAACAGTGATTTTTTAACATCTTAAAGGACCACAGACACAAACTGCGGAAGAAACATTTATAGGCTGATGACATGTTACTGATCTATATGTTATAACATGCAGCTGAATAAACAGCTGAATAATATTATTGTCTTATTAGGATTAAGGCAAATCATTAGATCACTGATGTCCATGTAAAAGTAGTCACAAGCCCCAAACCCAGAAAAAAAGGTGCTCCCTGATTTTGATGACAGCCTTTCCACAGGTTAGTAGAAAGCTAATGTAATGTTTATAGCATAATGCAAATCTTGCATTTATGCTAATAAACAAATGATCAAAAAAAAATATTTATGCAATTCAAATAAATAAAATATGAATTGATGTTTACTTTAAACTTATTATAAATATATATTTATACGGTTCAATTATAATGATAGTGATATATATATATATATATATATATATATATATATATATATATATATATATATATATATATATATATATATATATATTTTTTTTTTTTTTTTAATTAATTAATTTTTTTGTCGATTAATTTTGTGGCTAAAAGGTATCAGTTCAGGCACCGTTTTGGCACCGGTACCGTTTTAAAAGTATCGATTTAGCACCAGTATCGGAAAAACCCAAACGATACCCAACCCTAATCATGTCGTTATTAAAGGTGATATTGAAAGTATGTAACGAATGCTGATATTTTTTTACAGTAGTAACCTTTAGGTTATATACACTTGGGAAAATAGTAAAATTAAAAAAAAAATTATATAATTTATATTAATTAATAATATTTAGCATTATATAATTAATAATACTTACGTTTATATACATATGAGTAAAAAAATACATATAAATAAAAACTTCGGCACTCCAAAAAAAAAAAGTTAAAAAAATGCGTTTTCTCCCCAAGGGAATCAAAGAGAACATTTAATAATATAAATTTTTTTAGATACAAATGTGTACTATTTTAAGGTACTGACCCAGCTTTTGTACAATTTGAGTATGATGACAGACATGCACAATATTCGACTGTTTTTTGTTTGTTTGTTTCTTATAAAGGAATAATAATTAATGCAGTCATGCACATGTTTTGACAGCTAAAATGATGGTGATTTGATGCTTTGCAAAAGTTGCAGACACCTTTACTAATATTAAAATTATTTTTAATGCAACATTAATTTAAGTTCCTCACGCCGATTGCGAAACTTAAATAGGCCTGGGCTACCATAAAGAAAATCCAACTCAAAATGTAAAACTAAATAAATTGCTAAATACTCTTGACATATAAAAGCTTAAGGTCTGCAGCCCACCACAAATGATTAAAGTTATTGCGTATCATATTTAACAAACCATTTGCTATGAATTTTTTGTCATTACACTGCTGTCCCATCAGCTAATCGTTGCATTACTGATCATGATTTCGAGGATAGATAGATCTGTCCTTTACAACACACAGCGATCTAAGATCAGTTTATCCAGACATTTTAATCTGATTCGCGAACTTGTTTGAAGAACCAAATTAGCCAGAGATCAGTTATCAAGATCAAAAGATCCAAGATCTGCCAAATCATCTTAGACCATTTAAGTTAGATACAAAGTACGGACCCAAAGTCTGTGTAGCTCCACAGCACAGAGAATACAACTGGTCTCCAAACGAACTGAGAGAGGACCACGTGAGCTCTACTGGTGCTCCTATTAGCTGTTGCTCAAGAAAGTCAAATAAAGTTGAAGAATTCTCAATTTTTTCACATCACCCGACACGCCAAGCTCAGGTAGATGGAGTTCTCCAGAAGTTGCTCACTCTCCATCAAAATGAATGGTTGCTTGTTGCTTTGCCGCTGAGAGTCACTCATAGTGTGAATGAGGCTTGAGGCTTGTTGCAAACTACAAAATTTCTATACATTTTTTTTGCCTAATTTAATGTACAGTAAATGCACAAATCTAATATTGTAAAGTATCCTATAGAAAATATAAATTTAAAACTTTGTGAAGGGTGTACTGCTATATGCTGAGCACTGTATATTTGTAATGTTAAATTACAAACCTAAAGACATTTCAATTTGAAACAGTATTTATATTTAGAAATTTAAATGGAGTCATTCTCTGTCATAAATGGAGTCATTTTTTAAATCATTTATCAATTTTTGATATGTTTGCATACCACTAGACCTTTCCAGACATATAATATAACTTGTAACCGGTATATACACTTCAAACTAAACTGAGAGTATAATGTGTAAATAATCAACTGAAAGGTTTAGATTTATATATTCTTTAAGAAGAAAAAAATAAAGCTGTTATTTCTGTTTTCATCTTTACATGGTATGTTTTAGTGTTTTAATTAAGCTTGACTGATTTAATCCATTGATTAAAACAATATTCACTATATTAATACTAATATATTCAAAGAATTTTAAGTCAGTATTGCACTAAAGTCTTCCTGCTTTCCTCAGCAACTGCACCGCACACATATATCTCACATTCATGTGCAAATAAGCAGTTTTTGAATCCCCAAAGGTTACATCACACTAACCTCAGTAGATTTGTTCAACCGCACAAAGATGTTATAGCAAGAGGGATTGAAGTTAAAATGATGTAGATCAATGAAACGTCTCTTCAAAGTCAAGAGTCAAACAGCAGAGCACAGACATCCAGGTGATGCAAGGGCTCTGACATGGTGTGGATGTGTTCATTTACCTATTGAAACTTTTTTTACCAACAGCAACTAAATTCAGATCAGAAGCAGTTAATTCTTTCTGAGACGTTGATTGAGACTGTCTATGGCGAGAAGGGTCAAGTCCTCAAGTCTAAGGAGCGCAAAGTCTTTCTTCTGAATGACATGCTCATCTGTGCAAACATTAATGTGAAGTAAGTAGTCTGCAACTCATATGTCTATGACTGTAAACATTACAACTTTGTCCTCTATCCAAGTCTTTCATGAGAGAAATTCAAAGTGTGTCATATTTGTTGTTTGGTTCTGTTGAATAGTTTAGTTAAGACTGAATTGTACATTTACTACATGTTCAGAGGTCACAATGTGATTTCTTTAAAGACTGAACCTGCGATACCTGAAAAAAGTCCTGTCACCTTTCCAAGTTTTAGGAGCAACAAATAATAACTTGACCTCTAGTTGATCATTTTGTATCAGAAGTGGCTTATATGAAAGGCAAAGGCCTCTAGATTACGCTTATTTTACCAAAATAAAATATGATCATCCTTTGATTTAAATTTTTTAATCAGGATGGTAAGATCTGACTTTGCTCTGACAAAGGTCTTGTTGATTAACAGAAATAATGTACAGCATAGAATATAAAATCATGGTGTAGTTGAAAGAGAATGAAGATTGTGTATGACTCCCATGAGCTTGGACGACTGCATCCATACATCACTGCAATGACTCAAACAACTTATTAATAAAGGCATCTGGAATGGCAAAGAAAACATTCTTGCAGGACTCCCAGAGTTCATCAAGATTCTTTGGATTCCTCTTCAATGCCTCCTCCATCATCTTACCCCAGATATGCTCAATAATGCTCATTTCTGGTGACTGGGCTGGCCAGTCCTGGAGCACCTTCTTTGCTTTCAGGGACTTTGCTGTGGAGGCTGAAGTATGAGAAGGAGTTATATCCTGCTTAAGAATTTCTCTCTTCTGTGGTTTGTAATGTAATTGGCAGCACAAATATCTTGATACATCAGGCTCTGAATGTTGCCATCTACTCTGCAGATCTCCCACACGCCCCCATACTGAATGTAAGCCCAAATCATGATTTTGCTTTCACCAAACTTGACTGATTTCTGTGAGATTGTTGGATCCATGGGTTCCAACAGGATGTTCTGCAGTATTTATGATGATTTGGATGTAGATCAACACGATTCATCGAAAAAATCTACCTTCTGCCACTGTTCCAAATAATATGCTAAATAATATTCTTACAACTGAGATAGACGACAAGACTTTTGTCAGGTAGTGTACAACAAACAGTTTTATGATATATATTTTGCAGCTGAACTTATAGAACATCCAAAACAATGCTGTGTGCTGGACTAAATGTCCTCATGTCCACTATTCATATGTTTTAGTATTTAATATATAAATAGAATATTATCTGTACTCTGTAATGTGCTCATATATATTAATATATATATATATATATATATATATATATATATATATATATATATATATATATATATATATATATATATATATATATATATATATATATGCGTCAAAAAAAAACAAGCGCATAATACGATTTTTATTAATGGCGTTTTGCTTGCTATTTTTGCTTGGCACATTATAGCTTCTTTGTTTACAAGATGTTAAATGTTGGCAAAAATTGTGATGAATTATTGTCCTGGTGTGGACAAGCTTTAAGGCTCAGTAGTCTCAGTACAGTTACACATCAAAGTGCAGCATTTACACTTATTTAAGAATTTGTTTTAATAATCAAGTCAAAACTGGGACATGCACTGCATAAAACATACAGTATGCTAGTGTAATTGGCCGTTCATTCCACTGTGTCGACCCCTGATAAATCAGGGACTAAGCCAAAGGATAGTGAGTGAGTGAAGTCAAAACTGCCTAATGTGAACACACCCTTTCAATAGTTGTATTATAATTGAAGATATATGTATACCTCAAAATTAAAATGATGTCTTCATTTACTCAACCCCATACTATTCAGACCAAAGAAGTGTTTAAGGGGTCCATGAACTAGGACACCAAATTTCCCTTGATCTTTTACCATATAAAACATTATTGTGCTATAAAAACATTTGGTACTTTTCAGAACTCAAACTTTATTATTAGTTTTCAACCAAAATGGCAGGTTGTGGAATTTGCCCCGTTATTATGTAATAGTGTGGCTGAACTCTGCCTCTGCAGACGAAGATCAAAGCATCACTGCCTGTTCAGCCAGTCCATCGATTCACACTGCTGTTGGTAAATAACAAGAAAGGCAAACAAATGACGGCCTTCACAAAAACCAAACAACAAATATGGCTTTGAAGACAAGATGCTGTGCATTTCTAAGTTATCTTTGCAATGACTTCCTTCTGATCCTTACATTAAGATAGAGTGTATGAGCTTCAATAAAATTTTTAATTAACGTAATTCCTGACAGCATCAATAAAAACGTCTTAAGTCAGTAGGTCATTTTTTTCACTTAAGTTTTTTTGTTGATTTGTCCACAAAGGCACAATTAAGCAGGAATTTTAGAATGATTGAAGCTAGATGGTGCTGTGTTGACTATATAAAATCCAAAAGTAATGTTGCATCACACAAGTGTGACTAAATGTTTTATTTTATGGAATTTTTTGCAATATCTGTTATAACAAATGGTTTAATATGAGTATTTCTGCATTTTTACCTAAATCAAAGCACTGTGCATCTATAAAGGATGTGAGCTGTCAAAGCTACATGCAGAAGTTTAAGTTGGTGGGCAAACAGTTGTTCTTGCAAACTTAAATAAAAAAATAATATATCCAAACCTTTAGCCAGTTATACTAGTAGACCAATTGTATAAGTATATCAGAGACGAAATCGTATTTAAAAGCTTAATATGGGTTTAATATGGCCAAATCCATACTTTTAGTCCCATATGCACAATAAGTGTTCTTGAACTATAAAACGAAGTTGGGTCAGTCTGGATTGAATTCTCTCTGGGTTCAGAGTTTGAGAAGCTCTGCAGTAGATGTTTACTCCTGAGTCTACAATCTGTGTTTCGGTGGTGGGTGGGGGCCAAATCAGTACAGAAAATAGACTACTTCAATCTATAATGTTTTTTGATGTAAAGATATTGATAATATCATAAGTGGACCTCAGAGAAAAGTACATTTCCAGTACACAAAAAGGCAGATAACGAACCATTTAATGCAGTTGTTTTTCTATATGTAATAAAAGTGCATGGTGGGAAGCTTAAAAAAATAAAAGTAGTCCACATGACTCATGCGCCATGTTCCAGTTCAATCTAAAGCCACACAATTTTGGAGCTTTGTGTCCAAGAAAGAAGATGCTACATTTTTTTTTCCACTGACATTATTCTCTTCTAGCTCATTGCTCAGATTTCATGCGTGTTTGAATCTAAAGTGTCAAAACATATCAAACCATGTTTAAAGTCATTGGTTCCCTTGTGTTTTATAACCAATAGCAATGTCCCAGATTGAAATGTGTACATATGCGGATTAACATATGCACATATTTAAATTGCACACGAGATTTGAGAGCTTTGGTGGCAGAGACATTTTTTCTGTGAATAATGATCTTAAATTAAAGCTATCGCATTACTTTGGAGGACTTATAATATATAATGCATGAGTGAAATGATCTAGTTTTGGAATACTTTAATGTCATTTGGAGGTCACCATTCACTTTCGTTATAAGAAGTGTAGTGTAAACATCCTGACTCATATCTGACATTCACATTTGACAAATGAAGGAAAGTCAAAAGGGTTTAAACTTTAAAACAACATGAGGTTGAGTAAGAGTAGACAGACTTTTCATTTCTGGGTCAATTAAAGTGAATTAAGATGTTCAAATTGTAAAAAGCTACAGAAAAGTGGAATCCAGTTATTTACTCATAATTTATGAATTAAGGCCATCTTCTTTTTAACTCCCTCTCAACTGACTTCTAGATACATTGAATCAGGCATTGATAACATCTTTGACGAGCCAAGGTAACGTTCTCTCATCTGCCAGGCTTTTTCATTAATGACCACTGGGTCATGCTGTTTTCAAAGACTTCAGATCAGAACGATTTAACTCTGGCTTCATTCCTCAATCTCATCCAGATGTTCTCAATGCAGATCATGCTTAACAGAGGAATACATGAATAATAATTTCCCCGAAATCACAGCAGGGGGTGTTTGGCTCTCTGAGAATCCTCCTGATCACAAAGCTCTAATTGCCTTCCTGATTCCTGGATCTCAGATCATTCAGATGTCTTCTGGTTATGTAATATTGGTTATTTTGAGTTCGGGTCTTCAGTTAATTGTTGTGTGTTTATTCAGGGGGCCTCCGGATATCAGCAGCCTCGTCCCCATTGGCCCCAAGTATGCGGTAAAGTGGACTGCCCCCCTGCCGCAGGTGCAGGTGGTGGAGGTGGGCCAGGAGACACCACAGCGCAAAGAAAGCATCCTCCAGCAGAGCAGCAACAGGCGTCTGAGCTCCAGCAACCCCCAAGGTTGGTATTTTTAAGAGTGCTACTTTTTTGTGCTTCTTTTCTTTCTTTCTTTTGAAGCCAGTAATGGAGAAGGTTCATGTGCTCAAGCAAATTGGTCATGACTCTTCTACTGTTCTAAAATGTATGTTTTTTTGGAAAGAGTGAATACCCGTGTTTGATTTTTTTACGAATGTAAATCTTTTGAAAATAAAACAATAAAGTATTCCCCAAAAAATCTGAAGAATTGTGTTTTAACAAGCAGGAAAAATTTATGTGCATTTATGTGCATCCATATGCAAGTTCAAAAGATTGGGCTTTTTTGTAAGGAGTGAATGCTTCTATTCAGTGAGAATCTAAGTTGACCTTTAGTGGCAGCATAAAAGCTTTTTTACTGTTGCAAAAAAATACCATAAAAAAGAAATTGTGTTCTTTTGAACTTACTGTTCATAAAAGAATCCCGAATGGTTTCTCTTGGTGCAGCTTTTTATTATTGATGATAATAAGAAATGTTTCTTTAACACCAAATCAGCTAATTGTTATAATTTTTAATCATGACACATTGAAGGTGCTGAAAATTCAGCCATGTCATTACAGGAATAATTAGCATAAGATGTACATTAAGATGTTCAAATTAATTTTAAATTATATTTTCATGTTATTTTTTTTATTAAACTGCAGTCTAGTAAGCTCAAGAGACTACATTTTTTGAAAAAACATATTTTATTTTGTTTTAATGTTTAAGTTAGTCATATATTCAATAATAAATTCTAAATATTTTGTTTTTTTTAAACATTTGAATATAATTTCCTTTAATATTTATAATATACATGAAAAATATACATTACTGGTCTAAAGTTTGAGCTCAGCATGATTTTTAAATGTTTTAAAATAAGCTTCTCCTGCTCACCAAGGCTGCATTTATTTAATCAAAAATGCAGAACAAATTGTAAAATGTTATTGCACTTTAAAATAACTGTTCAAAAGTATTTCATTATTTAATTTAATCATTTATTCCAGTGATTTTAAAGATGATTTTTCAGCTTCATTGGTCCAGTCTTCAGTAACATGATCCTTCAGAAATCACTCTATTATTATTATTATTATTATTATTATTATTATTATTATTATTAATTATTATTATTATTATTATTATTATTATTATTATTATTATTATTATTTGTAATGGTAATAGTAATACAAGCAATAATGACTGGAGTAATCATTTCATTTGAAACTACATACAATAAGTAATAAATAAATATTTAACAATTTGACATTTTTTTATAAATGCCACCTTGATGGACATAATAATTTTATTAAAATTATTAAATAAAATTATTAAAAACTGACCCCAAACTTTTTACCAGTAGTGTATTTATAAAAGTTTATTTAATCAAAATATTATCATTATAGTTTTCTATACATCTTATCTATAACAATAATAATATTTTTCTATATGCTTGTTTAAAAAAGTTTGTTTAAAAGTTTTTAATTATGAGTACTTTATTGGTATTATGCAGTAAACTATTTCAAATAATATTTTGAATTAGTAATTTCCAGGAATAGTTTACATACTAAATATCATATATGAAACTTTTATTATCTTTACATAAATGTTGTCACTGATTGGTTGTTTTACAAGACCAAAAATGATGACTTTCGATTCAGTGCATGAGTCAGAGTGATTCAAACCATTAACTTTGTGCTTTTCCTTAAAAGAAAAGGCTCATTAGAGTACGCTTGTTAATAAATTGTGAAGGAGCATAAATGTAAATTACTTAGAGTGGATTGTTTGTATTTGTGGTAATTTAATAGAGCAGGGAAAAGTGTTAAATAGTTTTAATAGTCATTGTCCTTATTAATTAGTGTATAGATTTGACTGTTCTCTGAGGCTGCTCAACAAAACAAATTTCCACGCAGTTACACAAGCTTTACTTTTAACAAATCACTCTCCCAGATCTAAAGTGAGCTCTGCATTCATCTCATTCAGAAAACCTCAGGTTTCCCAGTGTTAAAACCAGCTCATACTCTCCAGCAGGGGAAACATATACACTCACAGTCAGGGGACACAACAGAGGGTCTAATTCCAGGATGAACCGAAAGTCCTTGGCTGACTTTCTTTTTTTACATCAGAAACTTCAACCCCTTCTCCATGTCTTTCCTGCTGTGTTTGAGCTTTCAGCCTGATGCAAATACTGCACAGAATTACAATGTTAGTTGAGCGCAGCCAGTCCGCTGCATGAATTTGCTGGAGGCGTATCATTTCAGAGCCCAAAGCTGTAATGTGAATATAATTACTGATTATGATGGAAATGCTATTTGTTCAGGAAAGCTGTTCCTGGGACCACCGCGGCTGTACCAGGAACTGCAGGAGTTACAGCATGATCTCACTGTGGTGGAGGAAGTCACGTTGTTAGTTGGCACCCTGCAGGGATCATACCAGGTACAATCCTTCATTATTTCCACTTTCACACACCTGGTCAGTTTCTGACTGTCAGAGAATTTGTGTGAAAGCAGATATTTCCATAATTGATGAATCACTTGGCTGCGTAAATAAATAGTTGGTCTTAAAGGGACAGTTGAACCATTGAAGATTAAAGTTTACTCAGCATTTACTTTCCTTCGTGTGATACCAACCCTTTATGAGTTACTTTTCTTCTCTTCTGACCATAAAGGAAGATATTTTGACAAAATTTGGAGAACTGTAGCCATTGACAATTGCAGTAGAAAAAAATCTATGGAAGTGGATGGCTACCAGGTTTTTTTCTGTTCATCAGTAGAAAGAAAATCAAATATATTTAGAACAAGTGGAAGGTTGGTTAATGATGACAATATTTTCATTTTTTTGGTGAACTATCCCTTTAAAGGGACGATTTGCTGTTGATTTACTTACTCTCAAGGCATTCAAGATATATCTGACATTTTTCTTTGGTGGAGCATTAAAGAAGATTTTTTAGCTGAAACTGTGGTTGTTCTGGCCTTTTGGCTGATGTATGGTTGTGGCTTTGGTTTTTCGAAGGTACTTCACTCCATTCGCTTTTATCCGATTCTCTTGTTTATTAAACAGGTAATTTACCAAAAAAAAAAGCATAAAATTTAAGATAAAGCATATATAAAATGAACTTTGTTATAAAACAATATCTCCGAATAGTACATGAAGTAGTCAAAAAAGTGTGTGTCCGAGCTCATTCAGTTCTTTCGGCTTACTGCCGTTCCATTTTCCAATTGTTCACATTCAAATTAAAGAACAAAACACCAGAAAATAACATTAAACTAAATGCACTTTCAAAACAATGTGTACAACAGTGGTCCTTGGGGTTCATGGTAAGTCGATGGTTACCCAGTACTTTGAAAATGTATTTGTAGGAGTTTCCTGGTCAGATGAAAAGTTTTATAGGAGGGAGGTATTTAAATGAATCAGCATCTGCTGCGTAAAACATATGCTGGATAACTTGGCAGGTAATTTCGCTGTGGTGACTTCTTATTAATAAAGGGACTGAGCCAAAAAGAAAATAAATGAATGAATGTTGTTGTTGGAGGAACTAATGGTAAAATTTTAAAGTAAAGTTTCCCCTCAAACATATTTATTTGGAAAGCCAGAAGAACACATTGTCTGAACATAATGAGTGCCAAATATAGTATTTGCTTCAGTAATTAAAAGGTGCTACAAACAACTAGGGTGAGTTATGTAATATCAGCACAATCTTAGTTTCCTCAGAAAGTTTGTGGTCAGTTCTCCTTGCGTCTTGTGAACATATATGAAGAGTTCAGATGCAAAAACCTCTAAGTGCAGTCTGAAAGTCGAAAATGAACATTTTTCTCAGCCTCCTTTGTTCATGTTGAGATATTCCCCTTTAAAGACCAGGGGCCTCATGTATCAACGCTGCGTACGCACAAAAACTTTGCGTACGCCAAGTTTTATGCTCACGTTTGGATTTACTAACGATGAAATTAACGTGAGAATGTGCGTTGGTTCACGCCAACTTCATGCCTGGCACACATGTGTTTCTTGTGTGTGTTTGATTTATTTTTATTGGCGACTCCTAGAGGCAATCATGTTAAATTGCACACTACAAAATATCTTTGAGCTGTGCAATGCCATCTGTATGGGACAGGATCATTAGCAGGTATATAAGGTTTCCATAGCATGCAGTTGATAAGCCAAACATTAAAGCGAAACTTGCAGCGATCGCCGGTTTTCCCAATGTAATCGGATCGATCGACTGCACGCACATTGCTATAAAGGCGCCATCTGAAGACAAATTTGCAAACGTGAATCAGAAACATTTCCATTCAATAAATGTGCAAGTAATATGTTATTCTCAAATGCGCTTAACATAATACACACACTTATTATTGATTCCTACTTGTCTTCCACGTGATGAAGATTAGGCAATATCTGAAATGTAATAGGGGAAAAAAGAAGAATGAGTTCATCAAACGCTGGATTCGAACCGGGATCATGATTGACAGTGTCAAAACATGTTGCCATGTGCTTTACGAGCTACGCTGCTGATGTCCTCCCTCTTTAGCTTTGTTGTCTCTGTCGATCAAACAGGTGGAAATCACTCAACTAGTTCATTCCAATGACAAACTTGCAAATAACACCGTTTTTCTCTGGTCTACCTCCAATAGGAGCACCTCCAATTCACATTCTGTTCAAAGTTTCTCTTCTTGCTTGCTTTTGCCGTTGCTTTTTCGTTTGGTTTGGCCAAGGTAGAGTAATTAGCATATTTATACGGGGGAGGAGGCAGGGCAGGGTTTTGCGTTTGTGCATGTGCGCTTAGTTTCACGTTAATTCGGATGTACCAAAAGAATATGGTGGGATTCAGCATGCGCAGCGTTTCATTCATCTGAATTTTTTACTGCATACGCACATTTACAGCTTTGTGCATATGCAATGTTTTAGTATGAATTCAACGCAAGTCTCCGTACATGAGGCCCCAGGAAGAGAACTTATTCTGTGCCATAAAGTGATATTATTGAACATACACACAGGAGCCTGATAAAAATGCTCATTGTAGAAGAAAATTTCAGATGGTGTTTAGAGGTTTTTGCATCTGAACGCTTCATATACAGTTGCATATGGCTTACTATACTGTATGTGAATGTATGGTGTGTGAACAGGAGTGCGTGAGTGCTGTCTGGTTCTGAAGTCTATCACATTTTGTAAAAGTTTTTTTCACTGTCTTGGTTTAAGCTGTAATATTTTGTGAATATGTTTATCCTAAGACCAACGATAAATAAATAAATAGGCCTAAATAAAATAAAACTATACTTTTGTTTAATATGTGTACTGCTTTTAACTACATTTTAAAGAAGAATGCTAACTTTGACCATTTTTTTATCAATAATCAAGATGTCATTGTAGATCAACTGTACCTTGTGAAGAGTAATATTTGCGCTCTCCTGCAAATTTGCTCTGTTTGGTAAATCTAACCCTAAAGGTAATAATGTAGTAATAATCTTCAGTTTTTATGCCAATTTCGCCTCTGAATGAGTTCAGGAGCCACATGTAGTCAATATATTTTTACATGTACATGTTGTTTTGACTCTCAAATTTGCCGTAGCATTTTATGAATCACCAAGGACCACAGTTTCAGCTCCAAGCCTTCTTTAACTCTCTACTGAAGAAAAACAGGTCACCTACTGTACATCTTGAATGGTCTGAAAATTAGTCAATTAAAAGCTCATTTGTTTTTGTTTTTTTGTGAACTATACCTTTTAGGGAAGAGGAATATACATGATAATTTAAAACTTTATGAGAACATTTCAGATATTTTTCTATGGGTAAACAAAATTTAGCTTCTCAGGGTGAAGTGTCCCTTTGAGGAAGCCCTCAGGCTGTTTTAATGATGTCTACACAAGATATTGATCAGAAGGGGTGAGGGAGTGTTCAAAAAGAGGCGCAGTTACAAAACAAAGACAGCATCAAGCAGCTATGAAGGTTGTTTTAAACATAACAGGCATACAGTTGAAGCCAAAGAAAAGAGTTTTTTTGGTTTGTTTTTATTCAAACATATTGATGTTATGTTGATGTGTATTTTCAGGTTAAGGATATTGCAGAGTTGTGTAGGAGAGTGCAAAACTTTTATATGTTCTTTGCATTTCAAGTGATTAAGGATTGCTTATTATGTGCACAAATCAAATACAAAGTAAAAATTGTAACAAGTTATACTAGTTTCATTCATTATGCCCAAGAAAAAATTCCCCAAGTGAGCAAAAAAAGTATATTGTATTGTTTAGTACCATTATTTTGCAGTCAAACGATGTTTCAGTTTCTTTTGCATAAAAATTTTAACATTTAAAAAAAAATAGATCACTAGATTAGTGTTTTCTTCTTCCTGAACTTAAATATTTCATAACTTGTATGGTCATTAAAAAGCGAATGTAATACAGAAATGAAAATAAAAACACTTTCTGCATATTTTATAAACGATTATGTTCATTCATTCATTTTCCTTCGGCTTAGTCTCTTATTCATCAGGGTTTGCCACAGTGAAATGATCTGCCAACTTATCCAGCATATGTTTTACACTGCAGATGCTCTTCCAGCTGCAGCCCAGTACTGGGAAACATCCACTCATATACAAATTTAGTTTATTAAATTCACCTATAATGCATGTCTTTGGACTGTGAGGGAAAACAAAGCTACCGGAGAAAACCTACACTAACATGGGGAAAACATGCAAACAGAGAAATGACAATTGACCCAGCATGGGCTCGAACCAGCGACCTTCTTGCTGTAAGGTGACAGTGCTAACCACTGAGCCACTGTGTCACCCTAAATGATTATGTAAAATTTCATATGTGTATTATATTTTCATAGTTGTATTTATCATTTAATGTCTCAATTGTTGCAGCTTTGACTATTTTATGCTTTGGTAGGACAGAATAGTCTGTTAACCGCTGTGTTTTAATTAACCAAAAATTAAATATTGAAAACTGTATTGTACATAAACCCTGACTAAGATCCAACAGGTTACTGCCAGCTATTTTCAATATGAAATCTGCAACGTTTTATTTCACAAATCTAGTCGACACAAAAGGTGGATTATGCATACTAACAGAAACATTGCTCACAGCGGGTGATTTGAAGTCCGACAGTAATTGTCTTGAAATGTATTGTTGAAGACGGTGGATTTGTAAAGAAAAGCTCTGCTATGATGGCTGCAGCGGCGGCGCTTTCAGGAGGATGAATTTAGAGATGAAGCTTCTCGGAGACATTTTACCATTAAAGCACAGCACGCTGTCAGAATGCTAACACCCCTAACACTGAAACGTTTCCTCCGTAAAGTCATCGTATTTACAGCAGGCCTGCTAAAAATATGGAAACAGAAACAAAAAAAGAAAAAGTGGATGAGCTCACAGATGGACCCCGTGTGCCACTTTCTTGCCCTTTCACCTCCCGCTATACTCTAATGATGCTGCATTTTTACTTTAATGTTACATTTAATTAATTATTTAATTTATACTTAAAGTAACGCAGCAATAACACACAAAATAAAATGATTTTATTGATTGTTTTTTAAGGTAACTTTTATTTTATATAAACTACAAAATGTATTTTTTTAATGTGTTAATATAGTAATAATTTGTAATATTATATTGTAGTAATAATTTTAGGTAGCATTTTAGCTATTTTACACTTACATTTAATAAAAAATGCTAACATTTTTTTTCGCCAACTTACTTGATAATTTTTAATTGTTGTATATTTTATTTTGATAAATAACCATAACACTCCAAACACAAGAGACATTTCTTCATGAAAAAAATTATCTCTTATAAGTATTATTATGTTTTATCTTTTAAGTCTCACCAATCTCTGAGCTAATGATGAAATGGATGTGAAAAAATTAGTATAGAGTTAGGATTGTAGTATTTTTATTTTACATTCACTTAAGTAATTATGTTGCATGATTTGTCATTTGTATTGTGTCTTTATAGTTCATATGATTTTTTATTGAAGTTTTCATAAACTTTTTTTATTGATTTTATTTGAACCTTTATTTTATATAAATTAAAAATCTGGTTTTAGTTTATTGTTTATAGTTTATGGAAATATTTTAAATTAATTTAATTTTAAATTAATTATTAAATTAAAATGATAATAAAAATTTTCCTGCAATAGCTGCAGTAAAATAATGTGTAACTTTTTAAAATATATATTTTATTTTGTTATGTAACGTTTTTATTAAATTGTGACCCTAGACCACAAAACCAATCATAAGTGTCCATTTTTAGAAATTGAGATTTGTACATAATCTGAAAGCTGAATAAATAAATTTTCCAATGATAGAATAATATTATTTTTGAGATACAGCTATTTTAATATCTTGAATCTGAGGGTTCAAAAAATCTGAATATTGAGAAAATTGCCTTTAATGTGACGCAAATGAAATTCTTAGCAAAGTGTAAACAAAAACGTTTTGTTATATTTACAGTAGTACACGAACGGTCAAAAGCGTGGGGTCAGTTATTCTATTCATCAAGGCGGCATTTATTAAATGAAAAAAAAAAAGTTAACTTGTTAAATATTTATTAAAATTCTAAGTAACCGCTTTCTTATTATATGTAGTTTTAAAGGAAATCATTACTCCAGTCATTATTTATTTTATTACTCTTTTATTACTAATACCATTATTATAATTATTATTATTATTAATAATAACAATAATAATAATAATAATAATAATAATAATAATAATAATAATAATATTAGAGTGAATTCTGAAGGATCTGAAGGAAAATTCATCTTTAAAGTCCTGAAATAAATGATTAAGTTAAATTATAAACTACTTTTGAACAGTTATTTTTAGTGCAATAACATTTCACATTTTTTTCTTTTGTTCTGAATTTTTGATGAAATAAATGCAGTCTTGGTGAGCAGGAGAAGCTTATTTTAAAACATTTAAAAATCTTACTGACCCCAACCTTTTGACCAGCAATGTACATTTACAACATATGTTTATGAGACATGATCTCTACTCAATATTCTACAGATTTTTTGCTTAAAAGAAAAATGTATAATAGTGACCAATAAAATGTATTTTTGGCTATTGCCACAAATATACTCATGCATCATAAGACTGGCTTTGTGGTCCAGGAGTCACAATTAACCAAACTGTATAAAGCTTTTTAGTTGTAGCTTACCGTTAAAAGCACAGCATGCCGTCAGAATGCTAACGCCCCAAAGACATTTCTTCACTAAATTCATCCCTTTAAAAGCGCGATCGCGACCGAAACAAAAGCAACTCACCGACGGACTCTGTTGAGCCGCTCTCTCTCGGCCTCTCACCTCTCCCTGCACTAATGATGCTGTGAATGTGAAAAAGCAGTGTGCTAACCGATGCTTAGCCAGTCTGACAGCTGTCTAAATGTGACTGTGTGCGTGTCCAGAATCTCAACACGACGGTGGGACAGGACTGGTGCATGGCTCTTCAGAGGCTCATCCGCATCAAAGAGGACGAGATCCAGTGTGCCAACAAGTGCCGTCTGCGGCTGATGGTTCCTGGCAAGCCTGACAAGTGAGTGCCGACTACCCAAACGCCAGCGGGCACAGGTTACACAGAATAGAGCTGCACGTTAAATTCCTCTAAAATGTGGGTGGATGTGACAGTTACATTCATCCATTTCATTGCACTTGTAGCAGAGGGATTTACATCTCTTGGATTTGTCTTGGACAGGCTCTTTGGTGTCGCTCTGTTATTCCATATACAGCCAATAGACTTTGTAGATCAGATGGAGGTTTAAACACAGGCTGAACAGCTTTTTAGACAGATGGCCGTGAACTCTATTGGATTATAATGGTTTAAGGCAGGGGACCACCTAGGTGGTTAATGAGACAGGGCAAGTTATTTTTATTATCGTTTTATCGTTTAAATTTATGGTCAGTTCTTTTAATTTTTTATGAACAGATTTATTCAGCATGGATGCACAAATAAATTCACAGTTACTCTAAAATCTTTATTAAAAGATTTATTTTAAATCTTTGTAAAAAGTGAATGTCTGTTGTTATATCAAACCGCCTAGTTTTTAAAAATTTTTATGTGATTTTTTGCAATAAAAATGACCGATTTTGTGTTGGGTTTTCCTAGAAATTTGTGAACAATTTAGCCAATAAAAATATATATATATATAAATATAAAAATCATAATACCTGCCCTACATGCACAAATAATGTCTTTCAATTTGGTCAAGTCCAGCAGCCGTCATCCTTGAACCAATCTCCACCACTGTAAGCTACTTGCTTTCCTGTCTGTTTCATTGCTCCGTTTTTTAGATGTTTGCTCACAATCTTTTGCAGTAAGCGCATCAAACGCACAAAAATCCAACTTGGGCCACAGGTAGTCTAATTGCATCTTTGCGTTGCCTTCATATGTAAATCACTCACGCTTCATCCATGTCTATTAGGGTGTAGTGAGATGTCATTTTTTGAGAGACACTCCTACACATCACATGTGCTGCGTATGCAACGTGTAGAAGTCATTTAAAACAACTAAACAAACTGAAATAAGTATAATTTGATTATATGGTTTGAAATTGGATGTTTTATAAGATTATTTACATATTTTGCGTTTAATTAAGAATTTTGCAGGATCGTGAAAGATTGTGACTTTTTGTTGATTTTGCATTGGATTCAGCGATCATGAAATCGTGGAAAAACTAGGGGGTCTGCTATATACATTTTTACAGCTTTCAGAACTTTAATTTTTTTTACATTTTATTTGAAATTGTATGTGTTTTTCTTATTTTTTTAGCATTTAATATGATCAAGTTACTATTATAGATTTTTTACTAATAATTTGAGATATAATTATATTATTAGATGCTTTGTAAATTATTGTTTTTCAGGGGTGCCCAAACTTTTTCCTTTGAAGAGCAAAAAAACATTTTTCCTTTGAAAGAGAAAAAATAAAATATCATTGAGAGCCGTAGGCCAAAGAAAAATATACCAACATTTTTTACATCTAGTTGCCATCGATAACTGCATAATTTATTTTATAATATTAAAAAAATAAATAGAAAACATAACTTCGAATCTTAGTAACTAATGCAGTATAACTTTTTAAATGATAACTTATTGCAATAAAAACATAAACAATCACATTTATAACACAGTGAAGTTCTGTGCTGAATATATTCAAGCAAATATATACTATATAACACTGACTATAACAAAAACTTGCTCACCAAACTTGCTCACCAAAGTTTCTGTATTAATCTTTCTTCCGTCAGATGGCTGCATGTACATTTTAAACTAAATTTCAGCATTTAAATTAAAACAATACATTTAAGTTAGCTTTTTGTAGCTTAACAATAAAAGAGATAAATAAAAGGTTAAAGTAAATTTAAAATGACAGACCCATTCTAAACCATCCCCATTATTCTCTCTCTTCTTCTCAGATGGAATAGTGGACCAAATCAAAGGTTATCATGGGCAAACTTTGGCCCACGGGCCCTAGTTTGGGCATCTCTGGTCTATATAGTTTACATTTTTGTAGGCTTTTTTTTTTTTTTTTGCATTAAACAAAAATGAGAAATTCTTCCTTTGCCATGACTGCAGCACCAAATAATTACATTAGCATTATTCATAAAAAATCATGTGACACTTTAGTGAAACCCCAACTGTGCATTAAATTCTAAATTGCATAATAACAGAATACTGTGGCCCTATTTCAGTTTTTCTGTATTATTGCTTGTAAATTATTTAAATAAATGCAATATAATCAGTAGATATTACTTTATACTTTGCAGAATGGGCAACACAATTAAAGCTTTGGCTGAAATGAACTCAGTATTGTTTAATGCATATCTTCCGTTTTTTCCAAAACAATTATTTTCAAGATCAAACGGTAATTGCCGGACCCCCCACTGTAGCGCAGTGGACCCCCCGTTGAAGTCCTTTGCTTTAAGCCGAATTGTGTTTTTTGTTGTTTCCGTGTAGTTTTTTCTCTTACATCAGACATAAACTCGTATGACTCTTGGCACAAATAGAGCTGTACAAACCAATTTCAGTCATGTGTGGAACTGAAAGAGGCTTTGTTTCACTTGGATTTTTATTGTGTTGAATCCTTCTTGGATTTTCACAGTTTGCGCATGTGTGTGTGTTTATCTGTTGACAGGTCTGGCCGTCCAGTCAGTTTCACAGTGGTCTTCAGTACGCCCAGTCCAATTAGCAAAATCTCCTGGGTTAATCGTCTGCATCTGGCCAAAATCGCCCTGAGTAAGTGTGTCCTCTCAGATATGACTAACAGTTGTTGACATGAATCTTTCACTTATTATTTTCATGGATTCACTCTCATGTTTTTAAAAACTGCGCTAGCTTTAGCTTTGAGTTCAGTGACAGTACTGTGCCTCTGGCTAAGCTTATTACCGTTTGTGTAGGAGAGGAGAACTTGCCTGGCTGGGTGTGTGTAGAGGATGATGAAAAGACTAAGCCTCCATTCTGGTGCCCGTTACTGGCCTGCCGGGTGCCTGTGTTTACCCCAAAAGTACAAGATCTGAAGGTAAGGAAGAGGCAATGAATCACTCTTTGGGACAATTTGTGTTCAAGGATACTTAAGAAAGAAATCTAGTCAGCTATAGATGTTATGTTATCATGTTATTTTATATTTTGCTGAAAGTAACTGGAACATAAATGTTCACCTTTTACTAACCTTGAAAGTGCATTGTAAGTGGTTAGTTTGTCTTACCTTCTGAAAAGAAAAATTGCAGCGGTTTGTTTATTCTCAGACCAATAGATTCTAGGGGTCCACAAATATTATACATTTAATGTTTTATAATTCATTCTTGTGGATTTTTTTATACTTTTAATTTAGCTAGTTTAGCTTATTGTTAGGTAATATTATATTATATTATATTATATTTGTATTATATTTATATTATATTATATTATATTATATTATATTATATTATTTTATATTATATTATATTATATTATATTATATTATATTATATTATATTATATTATATTTAATATACACTTCCTGACAAACGTCTTGTTGTCAATCCCAGTTGTAAGAGCAACAAATAATAACTTGACTTCTTGTTGATCGTTTGGAATATCAGCAGAAGGTAGATTTTTCTAATGAATCATCTGTTGAACTGAATCCCAATTACTACAAATACTGCAGAAGACCTACTCAGACTAATCTGTCAAGTTTGGTGAAGGAAAAATCATGGTTGGGCTTACATTCAGTATGGGGGCGTGCAAGAGATCTGCAGAGTGGATGGCAACATCAACAGCCTAAGGTATCAACACATTTGTGCTGGTCATTACATTACAAACTACAGAAGAGGACAAATTCTTCAGCAGGATAGAACTCTTTCTCATACTTCAGCCTCCACATCAAAGTCCCTTAAAGCAAATAAGGTCAAGGTGCTCCAGGATTGGCCAGTCCAGTCACCAGACATGAACGTTATTGAGCATGTCTGGGGTAAGATGATGGAGGAGGCACTGAAGATGAATCCAAAGAATCTTGATGAACTCTGGGAGTCCTGCACGAACGCTTTCTTTGTCATTCCAGATGACTTAATACGTTATTTGAGTCATTGCAGAGATGTATGGATGAAGTCGTCCAAGTTCATGGGAGTCACACAATACACAATATTAATTATTTTCCCTCTGCATCATGAATTTATATTCTATACTGTGCATTTTTTCTGTTAAGTGACAAAATTTTTGTCTATGCAAAGTAAGACCTTACTGTCCTGATTAAATATTAACAATTAAGGCATGAGCATATTTTATTTTGGTAAAATAAGCATAATCTAGAGGCCTTTGCTTTTCATTTAAGCTACTTCTAATACCAAATGACCGACTAGAGGTCAAGGTATTATTTGTTGCTCCTAAAACTTAAATAGGCGACAAGACTTTTGTCAGGTAGTGTATATGCGTACAATATAATAAATAGAGATAAACAGATTAATTTATTCATTTTCCCTCGGCTTAGTCCATTATTTACCAGAGGTCGCCACAGCGGAATGAACTGCCAACTATCCCAGCATATGTATTACGCATCAGATGCCCTTCCAGCCACAACCCAGTAATTGGAAACACCCACACACTTTCACACACACACGCAAATTAAAAAAATTAAAATTAATTTACCCAATTTTCACTTACAGCGCATGTCTTTGGACTGTGGGGAATCCACAGCACACGTAGGAAACCCACGCCAACTGTAAACAGAGATGATAAAAGATAATATCATATTTATCATGATGTTATTATAACATTAAACTCTTTTCTCACAGTTTTCTCCTTAGTGATAAGTCTTGTACGTGTACATATATATATATATATACTGCAACTGCTTTTCTAGTTTAGAAAGAGGGTCTCTCTCAAGAGGGTCATTTTTGAGACTTTTTGACATCAAAAAGCCTAAAAAAAGTTTAAAAACCCATGTCCTAGATGGCAATTAGATAAAATCAGAATCATCTGAAGACTCTTGCTTCTTACATCTTTTAGAAAACCTACAGTGTAAAGCCATTAAAAGATTTCAGCATGAACTCAAACTGTACATTTTGTACTATATAAAACCCGTCGTCTGCTTTCCATCTGTTTACTTCTCCTACATAAATTTAGAAGACGCATCTGAGAGTTGATATTGAAATAACCCTTAACTGCCAGCCTATGAGCAATGTTTTCCTGGAGCTACAGGGAAAAAAAATTTCCTCTGGGTAGTCAGTGTTTGATCTAGGACAAGGCAGATTGTACTCAGATTTAGATTCAGGATTTCATTTGTATGCATGTGCTAGACTATAATTGACGGCTTATTGCCTGGCCAGCATCCGAAACCTTTATCTGTCCTATCAGTTCAGCACAACATGGTGAGCTGGCAATCTTTCTAACATACTGCTTGCAATCAGACAAGGCGACTGAATCAAACACATGTTGCCATACATTTACATACACCTTTGATCCTCTGTTTAGTGCGCCATTGCTATTCCGCACCTTCAGGTCTGTGTGCAACTTCACAACATTGGGCGGTATTTTCAATCCACAGGACTTCACTTTTTTTAATCAAGACCTTATGTCGATCCAATTTGGAGGATCTTTGTTAGTTCTGATCTCCCATTGACTATTTTTGCTTTCATAGCTCTGTGATGATTTGCCACTGAACTGCAATTGTGTTCATGTTAATGTTTCATATTCATTCTCAGCGAGTGGCTTGCTGATTTTTGCAGTGTATTCAACCATTTTTTGCAAGTGCTGCTGATTTTGTCTGTGATATAATGTTGCTGGGTAACACAGATAAGGTCTTGTTAAAATATGCAAATCATGAAAGCTCCAAACTACCAGTAATGTTTTATCCAGATGCAGTTGACCAAGAACAAACGGGATTATTATCCTATGGATTTGAGGTACACTAAGAGCATTTAGTGTAAAACAAATTTTTACTCAGGAATTGCTAGAACAGGCAACGCAGTGGCACGGTGGGTAGCGATGTCGCCTCATAGCAAGAAGGTCGCTGGTTCGAGCCCTGGCTGGGTCAGTTGCCATTTATGTTTAGGGTTCGCATTTTCTATCCCTGTTCGCATAGGTTTTCTCTAGGTGCTCCGGTTTCCCCCACAGTCCAAAGACATGCGCTATAGGTGAATTGGGTAGGCTAAATTGTCTATAGTTTATGTGTGTGAATGGGAGTGTTTGGGTGTTTCCCAGTGATGGGTTGCTGCTGGAAGGACATCCGCTGCATAAAAAATATGCTGGATAGGTTGGTGGTTCATTTTGCTGGGGTGACCTTAGATTAATAAAGGGATTAAGCCAAAAATAAAATAAATGAATGAATCAGCTAGTACATTTCACATACAGTAATGAAGACAGCAAATAAGGAAACATAAAATGTGCACATCCACATTTATGATTTGGTGGCTTCATTAAAATTCAAAAGGATAAAACGAAATATGTACCTAAATTTTTCAGTGCAAATTGGCTATTTCTGGTAAACGTTAGTGCTGTTTTTACACATTTGGTCCATGTTCGCACCCTAAAGGTACAGATTACTACTAAAAAAGTGAATGTTAATTATCCCTTGAAGTGCTTTGAAATCTGCATTTTGTTCAATGTGTGACTATGGGCCCTATCTTACACTCTGCACAAAAAGACCCAAGATGCGTTTGACACAACTTGTTGTAATTTTCAGACCAGCCCAACCCTAATTTTCACGTTTTGCACCAATTTGTTTAAATAGCAAATCCATTTGCAAAAAAAAGAGAAATCCAATGGCTTTTTCAGTTTATTCATGACTGCTTGCATTTGAATAATGCTATGGTTATTAGTAGTATTATTTATAATATGCATATTTCTATTTGTTTTTATTAAAAGCAAGCTTAGATTTGTCCACCTGTCGGGATTTGTAGATGCATGCATCACCATATGGGGCCTAAGAATAGGATGTGTGTTTGGATTATTGCTCATTTATTCGTTTGCTAAAAATAAGAACTGAATTTAGACATAGTTTTGAAACAAATCTTTGCGCTTAACAAACAAAATGATATATGTAGGCTAATGGATTTCTTCAGTGAATTGTGTACAACACCGTTTGCTTATCCATGAAAGTAAAGGAGTTAAGAGTGAAATGAAAGAGAAAGTACAGAAGCCGAATGAAGGAGGCTCATTCTTTATCCTCACGCTGCAGATGATCTGTTTAACAGTTTTCTTGCTAATGAAGCATTCAGTTTTTCCGCTTGCAAAGTCTGTCATGTAAATAGCAAATGCGCCATGGCACGACACAACTAAATCTTAAAGAGAATGGGAGATGAGACTCTGATTGGTTTAAAGCATGTTATACTCAAAACACACCCATAATTCATTAAGAGAACAAGCACAACACTATTAGATCATGCGCCAGGGCACAGAGGGTATTGTTCCATCCTTACAATAGCAAAAGTGGATTCGGACATGCTCTTAATGCCTTTGTGCCATGCGATTTAGATTTTACGCCAAGATCGTTAAAATAGAGCCCTTAGTTTGAACTGTGACTTGAAGAAACAGAGTAGCTGCTCCCCTTTAAAAAAAACAGCATTTTGTATTTATTACAGCTCTGTCAGTGAGAGTGGTGGAGCTCTAGCGCATATACTTTAGCAATAGTATCTTGAAGGAGGTGGGACATGTCAGATACTAGTTTGTATTTGATTGGTCAGACGATTTGATGAGAAACTGAGGTGACATCAAAATAATTGTTGATCCATTTTGGCTGAAGTGACAAACTGCAAGCTTTTGATGTATATATATCTTCTTAATTTAAAAGTTTGTCATTGTTTTGGAGCACATTAGATTCCAAATATCCTTAAGACTAACATACTGATACTAACATCTAAAAAACTATTTTGATTTCATATGGACTTTAAGCCTACTTCGAAGAAATGAAAGTAAATGTAAAAGTATTTGATTTGATTTATTTACATAACTATAAGGAATCTAATGACAAATACTATTTTATTTTATTTCTTCAAGCTGGTGATCATAATCAGAGTCATGTTCTACAGTTCGCTACAGTTACAC